TGCTGAGGTAGTTCTGTGGCGTTCTGTAAGACTTACGTCCTCACTGATAACTAGTTATCACAGCATCATGCATGCCAAAGGCAAAGCTCTCTCTCTCTCTCTGTTTGTGTGTGTGTGTGTGTGTGGGGGGGTATGTGTGTGTGGGGGGTAGTGTGTGTGTGGGGGTAGTGTGTGTGTGGGGAGGGTAGTGTGTGTGTGGGGGGTAGTGTGTGTGTGGGGGGGTAGTGTGTGTGTGGGAGGGTATTGTGTGTGTGGGAGGGTAGTGTGTGTGTGTGTGGGGGGGGAGTGTGTGTGTGTGGGGGATAGTGTGTGTGTGGGGGGTAGTGTGTATGTGTGTGGTAGTGCATGAGTGTGGTAGTGTGTGTGTGTGTGTGTGTGTGTGTACTCACCTAGTTGTACTCACCTAGTTGAGGTTGCAGGGGTCGAGTCCAAGCTCCTGGCCCCGCCTCTTCACTGATCGCTACTAGGTCACTCTCCCTGAACCGTGAGCTTTATCATACCCCTGCTTAAAGCTATGTATGGATCCTGCCTCCACTATATCGCTTCCCAAACTATTCCACTTACTGACTACTCTGTGGCTGAAGAAATACTTCCTAACATCCCTGTGATTCATCTGCATCTTCAGCTTCCAATGTGCCCCCTTGTTACTGTGTCCAATCTCTGGAACATCCTGTCTTTGTCCACCTTGTCAATTCCTCTCAGTATTTTGTATGTCGTTATCATGTCCCCCCTATCTCTCCTGTCCTCCAGTGTCGTCAGGTTGATTTCCCTTAACCTCTCCTTGTAGGACATACCTCTTAGCTCTGGGACTAGTCTTGTTGCAAACCTTTGCACTTTCTCTAGTTTCTTTACGTGCTTGGCTAGGTGTGGGTTCCAAACTGGTGCCGCATACACCAATATGGGCCTAACGTACACGGTGTACAGGGTCCTGAACGATTCCTTATTAAGATGTCGGAATGCTGTTCTGAGGTTTGCTAGGCGCCCATATGCTGCAGCCGTTATTTGGTTGATGTGCTCTTCAGGAGATGTGCCTGGTGTTATACTCACCCCAAGATCTTTTTCCTAGAGTGAGGTTTGTAGTCTCTGGCACCCTAGACTGTACTCTATCTGTGGTCTTCTTTGCCCTTCCCCAATCTTCATGACTTTGCACTTGGTGGGATTGAACTCCAGGAGCCAATTGCTGGACCAGGTCTGCAGCCTGTCCAGATCCCATTGTAGTTCTGCCTGGTCTTCGATCGAGTGAATTCTTCTCATCAACTTCACATCATCTGCAAACAGGGACACCTCAGAGTCTATTCCTTCCGTCACGTCGTTCACAAATACCAGAAACACACTGGTCCTAGGACTGACCCCTGTGGGACCCCGCTGGTCACAGGTGCCCAATCTGACACCTCGCCACGTACCATGACTTGCTGCTGTTTTCCTGACAAGTATTCCCTGATCCATTGTAGTGCCTTCCCTGTTATCCCTGCTTGGTGTGTGTGTGTGGGGGGGGATGCTTCACAATTAATCCATATTTTATAATGAATACTTGAGATGACGTTTCGTTCTGTCCAAACCAGTCATCATGTTGTGACGGTATGTACTGAATAATGAGATGTTAATTTTGTCCCTCCCCAGAAAATGCACTAGTTATAATGGTATAGGTTCTTACAAGGAAAATTTAATAGATATGCACAGCATTTAGGCTAAGACTAATATTAACAACATAAAAATGGAAAATATATTCGACATGTGTACAAAAATGTAGTACACACTAAATATGTAAAACTGAATGATAATGTAATATAACTTTTAGTGAAACTTGTCATCTAATAATAATAATAATAATTCTAGGTAGCAGGTTGGTAGACAGCAACCGCCCAGGGAGGTACTACCGTCCTGCCGAGTGAATGTAAAATGAAAGCCTGTAATTGTTTTACATGATGGTAGGATTGCTGGTGTTTTTTCTGTCTCATAAACATGCAAGATTTCAGCTATGTCTTGGTAATTCTACTTACACTTAGGTCACGCTACACATACATGTACAAGCATATATATACACACAGCCCTCTGGGTTTTCTGCTATTTTCTTTCTAGTTCTTGTTCTTGTTTATTTCCTCTTATCTCCATGGGGAAGTGGAACAGACTTCTTCCTCCGTAAGCCATGCGTGTTGTAAGAGGCGACTAAAATGCCGGGAGCAGGGGGCTAGTAACCCCTTCTCCTGTATATATTACTAAATGTAAAAGGAGAAACTTTCGTTTTTCCTTTTGGGCCACCCTGCCTTGGTGGGATATGGCCGGTGTGTTGAAAGAAAGAAAGAAAGATTTATTTTGGCATGATACATGTATGTACAAAGAAGTATAATAGTTGGGTGTACATACCAAAAAAGCCCTATTATATGCAGAGCATTTCAGGCAAACTTAAAATTAACTTAAGATTAATAAAGCATTAACAGTACATATGGTCATTAGATGAGTTACAGTGATTACAAGAAACTTGAGTATTCTATTAGGTTATGCTATATGGCTTTAATAAGTCTTGTAGAGAAGATGTACAGTCTTGATTATTAACCTTAGGCAGATACAATGGAGTGATTAGCATTTGAGATGAATACAGATATTGAGAGCAAGTATTTATTAATTGTGGGTTGGTTGTGAATTGTTTTTTCAGTCTTTAGTACTTACATTAGAGATCATGAATGGCTCTCACGTAAATAGTATGACTGTTATTGCCTCTAAACCCCTGGTGGGAGCATATCTTCAAGGATAGTCGTGTATCAGCACTATGTTTACTCATGCAATACTTCTGTCCTGTACTCTGATGGAATTTTTTTTTATTAATACATCGGCCAGTTCTCACCAAGGCAGGGTGGCCCAAAAAAGAAAACTTTCATCATTCACTCCATCACTGTCTTGCCAGAGGTGTGCTCACACTACAGTTATAAAACTAACACATCCTTCAGAGTCCTAGGTAGTAGGTTGGTAGGCAGCAACCGCCCAGGGAGGTACTACCATCCTGCCAAGTGAATGTAAAACGAAAGCCTGTAGTTGTTTTACATGATGGTAGGATTGCTGGTGTTCATTTTTCTGTCTCATAAACATGCAAGGTTTCAGGTCACACTACACATACATGTACAAGCATGTATATACACACCCCTCTGGGTTTTCTTCTATTTTCTTATTAGTTCTTGTTCTTGTTTATTTCCTCTTATCTCCATGGGGAAGTGGAACAGAATTCTTCCTCCGTAAGCTATGTGTGTTGTAAGAGGCGACTAAAATGCCAGGAGCAAGGGGCTAGTAACCCCTTCTCCTGTATAAATTACTAAATTTAAAAAGAGAAACCTTCATTTTTCTTTTTGGGTCACCCTGCCTTGGTGGGATATGGCCAGTTTGTTGAAAGAAGAAAGATCCTTCAGAGTGCAGGCACTGTACTTCTCATCTCAGTTTCTAATTCCAAGATTATCTTGATATGTTCATGCTAGTGTTTATACTTCTGTGTCACTCTTACATGATGATGGTGATTGACTTTTTTTAGTTATATATCATGCTTGAATGATGGGGTGGGGGATATTTGCTATTTGGAGGGATATCTGAATTGTCATATCTTCGCTCCTCTGGCAATGCAGTGTAGATGCCAAATTGTAAATTCTTATGACAAATTCAACATAGTTTGATGCTTAAAAAAGGGTATCGAGTAGTTATGAAAGTTGAGGTTAATGACAAAACAAATTAAGTTTCTTTGAGAAATGAAAGGGTTGCTTTTCTGAATTTTATTAACCATATAATGTTATAATGTGGTTTCTGCATATTTCGACTTACAATGCTTCATTGTCTATCATTGTCTTTTTCTTCATTGTTCATCGACTTTTCAGTTACCATAAAAGTCACAAATTGGATTAATTTAAAACATGTGAGAGCATTTTCTTGCAGCTGTAAGTCAAATATATGTAAAGTTTTGGGTAATTTTTATAATTAGAAAAATTTTGGAACATAATGTGATGCTTAGCATTTAATAATACAGTGGTACCTTGAGTTTCAGCCATTATTCGTTCCAGAATGCTGTTCACGTGCCGTTACTGAGCACGTTTGTTCCCATAAGGAATAATGTAAATTAGATTAGTCCATTTCAGACCCCCCAAAATACACTTAAATAATTGTTTGAGTTAGGGGGTGTTCGAAACTCGAGGTGCCACTGTATATTGTTTGAGTCCAAATTGTGTACTGTTGACAATAGTGAAGAAAAGGCACACGTTACATAGCAAATTTATTATGGCACATTGCTCCAGCTTGAAGGGTCTCCTGAGCTGCAATGTCAGCATGCTTCTGGGAAGACAGCAAATGAATGAATGATGATGAATGTGTTTCCTCTTTTTTGGGGGGCCACCTTACCTCAGTAGGAGATAGCTGGCATGGAAAGAAAATTGTTTCTCTCTTTGTTGAGTTTTTTCAAGTCAGCTCTTCATAGAGTGAAAAATTGTCTCGATAAAAGCTTGTTAGGTAACATATGGCTTCTCTTCAGAAATGCTTTGCTTGTGTTAATATCCTACATCAAGCCTATTATCAAGTGCATCTGGATTAATTCACTTTTTTTTGTGTTTCACTGATGGGGGATACACAAGCATTCCAATTTCTTTCTGATTATTGCCAGTGTATTGGTAAAGATCAATACATTTGCACATCCGTTCAGTTTATAACCACAACAAGTACTGTAAGTGTAGATGCAGGGGATAAGAAGTCTTTACAAGTGATAATTTCTATAGCAGCAGCATATAACTGTTTCATATCTTATTATAGAAGATTTTGAGGAGGACCTGCCAAGTATGGGCAATAGACCTACTGCAGTGTTCCTTCATTCCTATGTTCTTCTAGTATTTTGTCTTCATTTGCAGCAGCCCTAACTCTATATAAGAAATTCTTTATACTATGTACTGTACTTCTATAATTTATATACAGTACTGTATTATAAATGAAAGACATCAGTTTTTAATATATAAATAACATGAAGATATGGTTGACAGGAAGTTAAAGTCAGCAGTCCAGACTACTGTGGTATGACTGCTGAGGAAGCCCTGGCAGATTTTTTGCAGAGGATCGAACACTACATGGCACAATACCAACCCTTAGATGAGGCAAAAGAAGATCATCTTTCCTTTATGAAGGTTTATAATACAGGTTTGTAGAGTTGACATGTGTTTGAAACTAATGTTTTTGTATAAGTAACATAATTAATTATTTGGGTTAGAATGTTTCAATTGGTTTCTATGTGTCTGATGTTCTGCTTACTTGTCTTTGATTTAGCAAGTGCCATTTATTACCAATCTTTCAACAATAATTTTCCATTCACTGTCTTTTACAGGCGAGAAAGTTGTAGTGCATAAACACGAGGGTCATATACAGGCGCGCATTGTCTACTATTTGATGAACACTCATGTTACTCCCCGCACCATCTATCTCGCCAGGGTATGTGTTTTATACACTGCTGTTTATGCACAAAATATATTTTATTATTATTTTTTTTTTTTATTATCACACCGGCCGATTCCACCAGGCAGGGTGCCGAAAAGAAACTTTCACCACATCACTCCATCACTGTCTTGCCAGAAGGGTGCTTTACCTACAGTTTTTAAACTGCAACATTAACACCTCCTTCAGAGTGCAGGCACTGTACTTCCCATCTCCAGACTCAAGTCCGCTGCGGTTCCCGAATCCTCATAATGTTACTTTGCTCACACTCCAAACAGTCATCAAGTATTAAAAACCATTTGTCTCCATTCACTCCTATCAAACACGCTCACGCATGCCTGCTGGAAGTCCAAGCCCCTCGCACACAAAACCTCCTTTACCCCCTCCTCCAACCCTTCCTAGGCGACCCTACCCGCCTTCTTCACTACAGACTGATACACTCTTGAAGTCATTCTGTTTCGCTCCATTCTCTCTACATGTCCGAACCACCTCAACCTTATTAGTAGTATTATTAATAATAATATTAATATTATTATCTTCTTCTTTCAACAAACCGGCTGTATCCCACCGAGGTGGGGTGGCCCAAAAAGAAAAACGCAATAGTCTCTTTAAATTTAGTAATTTATACAGGAGAAGGGGTTACTAGCCCCTTGCTCCCGGCATTTTAGTTGCCTCTTACAACATGCATGGCTTACGGAAGAAGAATTCTGTTCCACTTCCCCATGGGTTATTATTAATATTATTATTATTATTGGTGTTGTTGTTGTCTGTGCCTTGGTTAGGCTCTAATAATAATCTCATAAACATGAATGAAATTATCATATGCATATTTGCTATTTTTTCTATTCTTTCTTTCACCTTAATTTTTTGCTTATTACTCTTTTTGAATTCCCCCTCACACAGAGTGTATGTCAGTGTAAGTATGGTATGTCAGTGTGTGTATAGTGTGTCAGAGTGTGAGTACGATGTGTCTGAGTGTACCTAATACTGTACACCACAATATAAGTCTGCCAATTTTTTTTTCAGCATGGTGAAAGCACCCACAATGAAATGGGAAGAATAGGCGGTGATGCTAACCTTAGTGAAAATGGTCGCCTGTTTGGCAACGTTCTGGCTAAGTATATTAAGGACCAAAACATCCCCAAAGTAAGTACATAGTGCGCATAAATGATTTTTAATTTTGTTTTGTATTTTTTACATTGTTTCTGTTTGCTGTACTTTTCCATTTGACCTTGTTTTTACCTTTCCTTCAGCCATCCTGGTGACCTTTCCTAGTTTGCTCTTTTTAGTTAGTTCCAAATAACTTAAAATTTAGTCTTCCTTTACTGATCCTCCCGGTAATGTAACTTTCAGTTTCTCTCAGTGATCTGTAAGTTCATGACTCACAAAATCATAATAACACGATTGCAAACAAACCATGGAACAGGTGGGGATTGAACCCATGGTGAGTTGTAAAACTCCAGGCCAGTGCATAAGCCTCTCGACTAGCTGTTCCAGTGGCTTACACACTGGCCTGGAGTTTTATGATTCACTTGTCATGGGTTCAACCCTCACCTGTTCTGTGGTCTCTTAAGTTTTTCATTGACTTGCATAAATTGCAGATTGACCTGTGTACACTCCCCAGACCCTTGATCTTCTTCTTTTTTGTCTTTTTTAGAATCATCTGATCAGAACTTAATTTCAGTGGTAGATCAGCCAGGTTGTGGTGGATATGTAGGCTTACTAGCCACTAGTAACAACAGTCTGGGTAAGCAGGCTGTCAGTAAGGAAGTCTGGCCTAAGGCCGGGCTGGGAGAATAGAAGAATCCTTGAAAACAATCATAGGTGCATTAGCTTGTTCTGTGGCCTTATCTTAAATTCCAAGTCTCACTGCCACCTTTGACTTTCTCAATCTGGTGACTGGACCAATCTTATGGATTTCTGTTCTTATTTTACCATGGGGTGACTGTTGTTAATCTTTGAGGGATTAAAATCCTTGTGCTGAGCAAGTCAAGATTCCCACTCATATATTATATTATATTATCACACCGGCCGATTCCCACCAAGGCAGGGTGGCCCGAAAAAGAAAAACTTTCACCATCATTCACTCCATCACTGTCTTGCCAGAAGGGTGCTTTACACTACAGTTTTTAAACTGCAACATTAACACCCCTCCTTCAGAGTGCAGGCACTGTACTTCCCATCTCCAGGACTCAAGTCCGGCCTGCCGGTTTCCCTGAATCCCTTCATAAATGTTACTTTGCTCACACTCCAACAGCACGTCAAGTATTAAAAACCATTTGTCTCCATTCACTCCTATCAAACACGCTCACGCATGCCTGCTGGAAGTCCAAGCCCCTCGCACACAAAACCTCCTTTACCCCCTCCCTCCAACCCTTCCTAGGCCGACCCCTACCCCGCCTTCCTTCCACTACAGACTGATACACTCTTGAAGTCATTCTGTTTCGCTCCATTCTCTCTACATGTCCGAACCACCTCAACAACCCTTCCTCAGCCCTCTGGACAACAGTTTTGGTAATCCCGCACCTCCTCCTAACTTCCAAACTACGAATTCTCTGCATTATATTCACACCACACATTGCCCTCAGACATGACATCTCCACTGCCTCCAGCCTTCTCCTCGCTGCAACATTCATCACCCACGCTTCACACCCATATAAGAGCGTTGGTAAAACTATACTCTCATACATTCCCCTCTTTGCCTCCAAGGACAAAGTTCTTTGTCTCCACAGACTCCTAAGTGCACCACTCACTCTTTTTCCCTCATCAATTCTATGATTCACCTCATCTTTCATAGACCCATCCGCTGACACGTCCACTCCCAAATATCTGAATACGTTCACCTCCTCCATACTCTCTCCCTCCAATCTGATATTCAATCTTTCATCACCTAATCTTTTTGTTATCCTCATAACCTTACTCTTTCCTGTATTCACCTTTAATTTCCTTCTTTTGCACACCCTACCAAATTCATCCACCAATCTCTGCAACTTCTCTTCAGAATCCCAAGAGCACAGTGTCATCAGCAAAGAGCAGCTGTGACAACTCCCACTTTGTGTGTGATTCTTTATCTTTTAACTCCACGCCTCTTGCCAAGACCCTCGCATTTACTTCTCTTACAACCCCATCTATAAATATATTAAACAACCACGGTGACATCACACATCCTTGTCTAAGGCCTACTTTTACTGGAAAAAATTTCCCTCTTTCCTACATACTCTAACTTGAGCCTCACTATCCTCGTAAAAACTCTTCACTGCTTTCAGTAACCTACCTCCTACACCATACACTTGCAACATCTGCCACATTGCCCCCTATCCACCCTGTCATACGCCTTTTCCAAATCCATAAATGCCACAAACACCTCTTTAGCCTTATCCAAATACTGTTCACTTATATGTTTCACTGTAAACACCTGGTCCACACACCCCCTACCTTTCCTAAAGCCTCCTTGTTCATCTGCTATCCTATTCTCCGTCTTACTCTTAATTCTTTCAATTATAACTCTACCATACACTTTACCAGGTACACTCAACAGACTTATCCCCCTATAATTTTTTGCACTCTCTTTTATCCCCTTTGCCTTTATACAAAGGAACTATGCATGCTCTCTGCCAATCCCTAGGTACCTTACCCTCTTCCATACATTTATTAAATAATTGCACCAACCACTCCAAAACTATATCCCCACCTGCTTTAACATTTCTATCTTTATCCCATCAATCCCGGCTGCCTTACCCCCTTTCATTTTACCTACTGCCTCACGAACTTCCCCCACACTCACAACTGGCTCTTCCTCACTCCTACAAGATGTTATTCCTCCTTGCCCTATACACGAAATCACAGCTTCCCTATCTTCATCAACATTTAACAATTCCTCAAAATATTCCTTCCATCTTCCCAATACCTCTAACTCTCCATTTAATAACTCTCCTCTCCTATTTTTAACTGACAAATCCATTTGTTCTCTAGGCTTTCTTAACTTGTTAATCTCACTCCAAAACTTTTTCTTATTTTCAACAAAATTTGTTGATAACATCTCACCCACTCTCTCATTTGCTCTCTTTTTACATTGCTTCACCACTCTCTTAACTTCTCTCTTTTTCTCCATATACTCTTCCCTCCTTGCATCACTTCTACTTTGTAAAAACTTCTCATATGCTAACTTTTTCTCCCTTACTACTCTCTTTACATCATCATTCCACCAATCGCTCCTCTTCCCTCCTGCACCCACTTTCCTGTAACCACAAACTTCTGCTGAGCACTCTAACACTACATTTTTAAACCTACCCCATACCTCTTCGACCCCATTGCCTATGCTCTCATTAGCCCATCTATCCTCCAATAGCTGTTTATATCTTACCCTAACTGCCTCCTCTTTTAGTTTATAAACCTTCACCTCTCTCTTCCCTGATGCTTCTATTCTCCTTGTATCCCATCTACCTTTTACTCTCAGTGTAGCTACAACTAGAAAGTGATCTGATATATCTGTGGCCCCTCTATAAACATGTACATCCTGAAGTCTACTCAACAGTCTTTTATCTACCAATACATAATCCAACAAACTACTGTCATTTCGCCCTACATCATATCGTGTATACTTATTTATCCTCTTTTTCTTAAAATATGTATTACCTATAACTAAACCCCTTTCTATACAAAGTTCAATCAAAGGACTCCCATTATCATTTACACCTGGCACCCCAAACTTACCTACCACACCCTCTCTAAAAGTTTCTCCTACTTTAGCATTCAAGTCCCCTACCACAATTACTCTCTCACTTGGTTCAAATGCTCCTATACATTCACTTAACATCTCCCAAAATCTCTCTCTCTCCTCTGCATTCCTCTCTTCTCCAGGTGCATACACGCTTATTATGACCCACTTCTCGCATCCAACCTTTACTTTAATCCACATAATTCTTGAATTTACACATTCATATTCTCTTTTCTCCTTCCATAACTGATCATTTAACATTACTGCTACCCCTTCCTTTGCTCTAACTCTCTCAGATACTCCAGATTTAATCCCATTTATTTCCCCCCACTGAAACTCTCCTACCCCCTTCAGCTTTGTTTCGCTTAGGGCCAGGACATCCAACTTCTTTTCATTCATAACATCAGCAATCATCTGTTTCTTGTCATCCGCACTACATCCACGCACATTTAAGCAACCCAGTTTTATAAAGTTTTTCTTCTTCTCTTTTTTAGTAATTGTATACAGGAGAAGGGGTTACTAGCCCATTGCTCCCGGCATTTTAGTCGCCTCATACGACACGCATGGCTTACGGAGGAAAGATTCTTTTCCACTTCCCCATGGACAATAGAAGAAATAAAAAAAGAACAAGAGCTATTTAGAAAAAGGAGAAAAACCTAGATGTATGTATATATATATATGCATGTGCGTGTCTGTGAAGTGTGACCAAAGTGTAAGTAGGAGTAGCAAGATATCCCTGTTATCTTAGCGTGTTTATGAGACAGAAAAAGAAACCAGCAATCCTACCATCATGCAAAACAGTTACAGGTTTTTGTTTCACAGTCATCTGGCAGGACGGTAGTACTTCCCTGGGTGGTTGCTGTCTACCAACCTACTACCTACTCATACATTTGTATAACCTATTTTTAAAGCTTAGACAAATATATGAGTGGAAATAGTTGGGTGCAAATAGAGCAGCAAGTCTACCTTAGTTCTCTCTCTATATTCTTACTGTAACTTATACTGAGAGGTTGACTTACAGTTAGTACCGTATTTTCCAGCATGTAAGGCGTGCCTTTTTTCCCACAAAAAAAGTCTTGGATAGTCAGCCTGTGCCTTATATCGTCAAGGTCAGGGTCAAAGGTATGTTTTGGGCTACGTTTTAGATTAAAGTAAGAGGGTAATAAATCCTTGAATATGATTACCGGTTTACCGTTATGATACTTCTGTCATGTGCTTTATGTACTGGAAAATACAGTAATACTCTGTGTGTTTGTTAGTTTTAGTCAGCTGACTTGTTGAACATTGACAGTGCCCTATGGCAATTTTTCATGGATTTTAATTACTTTTATAGTAGTTACAAATTGATGTGACAATTAAATTATTCATTTGTAAGTTAGTCAGTCCTGTATAGTAGAGAGAGTTGTAACTCTTAGTTAAGGTTATTAGAAATCTAAATTAACATAAAGTTGCATGTCTTATTAAGCTAGGAATTGCAAAGCTTGTAAATGACTTTTAAGTATTGTACATAGTTGTAGGATCTTTTTTATATGTGATTTGAAAAAAGTAAAGAATATTTTGCATGTTGCCAGCTGCGAGTGTGGACATCCTGGCTGAAGAGGACAATTCAAACGGCTGAAGGCATTGAAGCCCCCCAAGAGAGGTGGAAGGCACTCAATGAAATTGATGCAGTTAGTATTTTTTATTAGACCTTACATATATATATTTTTATTGCATGGTAGTGACCAATAGCTAGTTGCATATGATCATCTGTACTAGCAGTTATTATATAACTTTTCTTTTGCATGTTTACATACAAGATAAGCTTCGTTATTTTCAGGGCATCTGCGAGGAGATGACCTATGCCGAAATCAAAAGACATTTCCCAGAAGATTTTGCTGCTCGTGACCAGAATAAATTTAGGCATGTATAAATTTTGACGTTTCGTTTCAGATGAGTGCAGTATATACAATGCCATTAATTCATTGCACTGTCATAGCTGATAGTGTTAAATTAGCAACCTTTTCAAAAGAAAATTCAGACTTGAGAGTCTCTATTTAAATGTTTATTTGCCATATTGTCTATTTTTCACCAAGTAGAGTGACCCAGGAAATGGAAGCCTTTACCATTCCATCATTAGCTACTTTGGTCGTCCAAGTTGTAGCCTCCCCACCACTCCGTCATAGTGCAGACACTGTACTACCTCGATGGAAGATGGCTGGTGTGTTTAAAAGTAAATAATAAGCCATGTGTGTTGTAAGAAGCAACTAAAATGCCGGGAGCAAGGGGCTAGTAACCCTTTCTCCTGTATAAATTACTAAATGTAAAAAGAGGATAAACTTTAGTTTTCTTCTTTCTTGGGGTCACCCTGCCTCAGTGGGAGATGGCCAATATGTTAAAAAACAAAAACTAACCTTCAGAATCTGTAGAATTGATATATAACATGGTTGCAGCTACCGGTATCCTCGCGGTGAAAGCTATGAAGATCTGGTCGCTCGGCTGGAGCCAGTGATTATGGAATTGGAGCGTCAAGGCAATGTTTTGCTTATTGCTCACCAAGCAGTCTTGAGGTGTCTTCTAGCATACTTTCTTGATAAACCTTCTGGTGAGTTGGCAGTTGTATATATTAATTAATTCTAGTCATTTTAATAATGATTTGTGTTTTTTTAACTACATCAACTGTGTGGTGTAAATATTATGCAGAGAATTCATAGCTTGGAGATTAGGAGGTGCAGGGCTACTAAAAGTATTATTCAGAGTGCTGAGGAGGGGTTGTTGAGGTGGTTCAGAAAAATAGGATGATTTGGAGGGTGTATAAATCTGTGGTGGAGGAAAAGCAGGGTATGGGTTGCCCTAGGAAGGGAGTAAAAAAGTTTTTCTGTGTGAGGGATTGGACATCCAGCAGGCATTTGTGAGTATTTTAGATAGGAGTGGAGGCAAATGGTTTTTGGGACATGTCCACTCAAAGATATCTAATCTGTATATATTCACTTCCTCAATTCTCCCTCTTTCTAATCTGATATCCAACTTTTTGTTGCCTACCATTTTGTTACTCTTATCACGTTGCTCTTTTCTGTGTTCATATTTGATTTCCTTCTTATAAGCACCCTCCCAGACTCATCCACAGTCTTTGCAACTTAAGAATCACTCACGTGAAGCATATCATTGGCAAAGAGCAGCTGTGATAATTCCTACTTCATATAAAGTTTTCATTACCTTTTAATCCTACACTTCTCAACATCTTATCATTTGCTTCTTTTGCAACCCCATCTATAGTTATTTTTTTATTTTTTTTAACATCCCAGCCATCTCCCACTGAGGCAGGGTAACCTGAAGAAGAAGAAACACATTCACCATCATTCATTCTATCACTGTCTTGCCAGAGGCATGCCAATACTGCAGTTCAAAACTAAATAAAAACCATGGTGACATCACATCACATCCTTCTTTTATGGGAAAAAGGCCCATGTCATACCTACATCCCCTAACCTGAGCCTTGCTTTCTGTATTAAAATTCTACTGCTTTTAATAATTTACTACCTGTACCGTACATTTGCAATAACTGTCACATTGATTCCCTATCCACTCTATCATGTATATGCTTTGTCCAATCCATAAATGCTACAAATGGTTTCTTACCCTTACCTAAGAATTGTTCACTTATGTACTTCAATGTAAATACTTAGTCTAGATGTCCCCTACCCTTCCTAAATCTTCCTTGTTCCTCTGCAGTTCTGTAATCATTATTTTATGATTGGAACTTCTTTGCAAACAAAACAATGTAGAATATGGGTGGATAGCCAGTCTCATTTTACACCATTCATTTTCTTGTACATTATCCAGCATCATTTTCTGTGTTTGCTGCATATAGGGTTATTACATAAATCTTCAAAGAAACCTATGTGTATCAGGAGTCACTGAACACCTTGGAACCTTTTTTTCACATACCCTTGTTGTTAAGAATGAATAAGTTATGTTCTGGTATCACTTAATTGTATGTATTATGCTTTAACTGGGACTGTTATTCTACCCAATTAGATGAACTGCCATACATTGAGGTACCCTTGCATACTGTAATTAAGCTGACACCTGTTGCATATGGTTGCAAGGAGGAATATGTACCTCTCCATGTTCCGGCCGTCAATACCCATCGTGCTAAGCCAGAGGTAAGAAATGCAGCCATAGAGCTTGTTTGTGTGTGTGTGTGTGTGTGTGTGTGTGTGTGTGTGTGTGTGTGTGTGTGTGTGTGTGTGTGTGTGTGTGTGTGTGTGTGTGTGTGGTGTGTGTGGTGTGTGTGTGTGTGTGTGTGTGTGTGTGTGTGTGTGTGTGTGTGTGTGTGTGTGTGTGTGTGTGTGTGTGTGTGTGTGGTGTGTGTGTGTGTGTGTGTTAGAGTCCCTTCCAGCTATCGCCCATTCTATTTGTGAAGAAATATTTTCTAAATGTATTTTCTTCATCTTTTCATTATACAATTTAAAATTTTGAACTTTTGTTTTCTAGCTGGTACATGTACTCAAATATCTTGCCTATTGGTGCATAGTTCCTTAAATTCTTTAGTGCATGCTAACTTCCCTATGGTGTATATAAATATACCTAGTTAGCTGAATCTTATTGTAGCCAGCTGGCTCAGTGGTTTATGCACTGGCCTGGAGTTTTACCACTCACTTGTCATGGGTTCAAACTTCACCTGTTCCGTTGACTGTTCATGGTTTATAGATGGTAATCGCTATTCATTCAGTAGTTAATGTTACAGTTTATAGTTAACCAGGTAAGTAAGAAGAGGACTTTCCACATTAACTCCCACAGGGTAGATAACTCAGGATAATTTAAGAAAGCTAATGTCTTACTCTGTTGAGATGCTTAGGTTTTCTTCCCCAGGATGCCACCTAAAACAGCCAGCTAATTCCTAGGTACCTATTTACATCTAGGCAAGTAAGGGCAACAGGTGTTAAGTATTTCATTCCTGAGAAAGTACTGAACCCATAAGGGTCATCAGTGCTTTGGGAATGAGAGGTTAATTAATTTTGATCCAAGGAAAGGGAGGGTAGTTCCAGTTCCTTGGATCAAGCACTTAACCAGTATCAAGGCACTTCCACCGGAGGAACATTGTGTTTAAATACAATAGTAGATTATTATATAAAATTATGACTAAAAGCTTATGTATAATTTCTTGTAGGACATGATTTTAGCTAAAAGACTGTTTTTAATTTATTGTAGTGTACAATTATTATTTAAAGCCTGTTATTATTTTTTGTCTAGGTTAATGAACTTCCATTTTTTTTTTTTTTAGATTCCTGGATCGCTTGACTCAGTGAGTTCAATAGTTGATAATATGGAGATGGCCTCTTGATAATAACGTCTAATAGGCCTACTACTGCTCATAGGCATTTTTTGTCCCATTTGTTGCCAGCAGTTCAAAATTGCAAATTTTCACCTCGTTAGTGTTCACCATTCAAGTTTTTTGGGTACTTTAATGTTAAATTCATTTAATGTTAAATTCATCAGGTGCCTATGTATTAATTTAATGTTAAACAATGTGTGATTTTTGCTTGGAAGTTCTCCATTGTTATTGTGTTCATTATTTATTCATAACTAACCCCCACTGTTTTGGAGAGGAACAACGGTACATGTTTTCAAGAGGAAACTGGATCACTACCTCCTACAAGTGCCAGATCAGCCTGGCTATGTGAGTCTGTAGACTATAAGCAGCAACAGCCTGGTTGATGGGGCTGGCCTCAGGCCAGGCTGCGACAGTAGAACTCTTCGAAACTGCTCACAGCTAGATGACATTTCAGTCCATTCTGAAATTTCTTTTTAAGCCACATTTAGATAAATTAGACACATGGTCAACACTTAGGTATCTTTATTAAGGAAACGTTTTGCCACACAGTGGCTTCATCAGTCCAATGCAAGGAAGAGTGGTGAAGATCAGGAGTTTGATGTAATCTGTCCCTCATCCTGGAGTTGATGTATTCAGTCCATCAGTCGTGGCGAAATATTTCCTCAACAAAGATACCCAGGTGTTGTACATGTGTCTAATTTATCAACTTGTTGATTTTCTGAACCATTTATCTAAAGTCACATTTAAATGGGGTATAGAAATTTAATTTTCTGCAGCTATATAAATGATAAGTTTACAGTATTGGTTGCTTGTTTAAAGGTGTTAGTATTATTCATTTGTGTTTGAAGAAAATGATGTTGAGGATTAGAAAACCAAAGACAAAAACTTGTCATATTTACTGGTAATTACAGTAAGGATCATTTTTTTGACGCTTTTTGCTGTTAAATTTTTGAGATTTAAAATAGAAGAAAATGATAATCAGTTAAATTTTTTAAATGGCTACAAACAATACTTTTAAATTTTTGAGTCATTGACGGTAATAGGGGTTGTATTTGATAAGACATGTGATAAAAAAAATTTGTACAATACAGTATATATAATAATTAAAAAAAAAATATGCTTTATTGCAGTACAGTCCTAGTATTTATTTTAGACATTAATATTACAAATTTTGGAATTCATAGTCATTATTCCTTAGATAGCTTACTGCAAAAGCAAAAGTGAATTTCATAATGTGAAGTTATTCATAACATACTGGAGAATGGTCTAATGAATGATTTTGTTATAATCTTAGCAAATTGTTTCTGCGCTCATATGTGAGCAAGAAACCGGGGACAAAATGAAATTGCCTTATATATAAGTTATATATATCTGTGATGTACTTACACAATGAGGAAGAAGTTGTTAAGCTGGACTGACTTCATTGTGTCCCTTAACCAGGTTGCCAAAATTCTGAATTTCAGAAATGTATCGAATTGTTATTGCATTCTTTGGAAAATGTTAAACATGCAAGAATCAGGCAGCACATGAGAAATGGGAGGTAATAGGTTTAGTCTGAGGAAAGGGCAGATAGCTCTATTACCTTGGATGAAGAGCCCCTCACCAGCATCAGAAGTGTATCATAAATGCATGTTTAAGTACAAAAATTTAATTTTTTCTCAAGCTGTGTAGATGGTAGTATGCAACTATTAAAGACAGGTGGAAGAAAATGAAGGTGTTATTTTTACCTTTATTTTCTTTGTAATAACCTCCATATCAATACAGGTACTGTAGTTTGTTTTTCTGATACGAGGCCAGTTTATTATCGTAATTTGAATATCTATGTAATTTCTTCATGCTGGTGCTGTTTAATGAGTAGTGTAGTGAGAAACATGAATATTCAGTTAGAACTGTAGTTTTTACTCTGGAAATTTATCTTTTCAACTTTATAGAGGATTTCCTTGCACTCTGATATCACAGCCATGCAGTTCTCCTTCACCTTATTTTTGTTTTGTTTTACATTTTTGTCACAATGGTCATGTTTCACCAAGGTAGGATGAGTATCCACTCCTTTACAGTATCCCTAGAAATTATTGGCCATGTTTCACCAAGGTAGGATGAGAGTATCTGCTCCTTTACAGTATCCCTAGAAATTATTGGCCATGTTTCACCAAGGTAGGATGAGAGTATCTGCTATTCACAGTATTTCTAGAAATTATTGGCCATGTTTCACCAAACTAGGATGAGAGTATCTGCTCCTTTACAGTATCCCTAGAAATTATTGGAAATGTTTCACCAAGGTAGGATGAGAGTATCTGCTCCTTTACAGTATCCCTAGAAATTATTGGCCATGTTTCACCAAGGTAGGATGAGAGTATCTGCTCCTTCACAGTATTTCTAGAAATTATTGGCCATGTTTCACCAAGCTAGGATGAGAGTATCTGCTCCTTTACAGTATCCCTAGAAATTATTGGAAATGTTTCACCAAGGTAGGATGAGAGTATCTGATCCTTCACATTATATCTAGAAATTATTGGCCATGTTTCACCAAGGTATGATGAGAGTATCCACTCCTTCACAGTATCCCTAGAAATTACTTAGTCCTCATTTCCTGTGCTCACTGTTTTCATTAATATGTTCTCGCTATACTTTGAGCTCTGAGATTTTCAGTGGAAATCTAGGCAAAATACTTGGAGGTCAGGTTACTCTTGAAAGGTTGAATGTTCTTGGAGGTCATGGTACACCTCAAAATGGGGAAACTTTGACTTGTTAGCTACTCATTCTAGGTGAAGAGGTTAGGTGACACAGTGTAATAATACTCCTCAAGCTTTCATTTCATAAAACCTCCTTTACACCCTCTTTCCAGTTCCTTTTGGGCTGTCTCCTGCACCTCCTACCATTCCCCCAGATGTATATACTCTCTTAGTCAACATATCTATGAGGGTGTGTTTATCTCATACCTAATAAGCAAAGTCATGCATACAAGCCTAACTGCCTTGTAAATAGATTTTTTATCTCACTTATAGATAGATAGTTTCATGCAAATTAATATGGCATGAAAATTTTAAATTTTACACCAAAGCTAACTTAGCTATCTAACCTAAACTTGGTAATTTTTTTTTTAACACGTCGGCTGTCTCCCACTGGGGCAGGGTGACCCAAAAAAGAAAGAAACACTTTCACCATCATTCACACATAATCACTGTCTTTGCAGAGGCACTCAGATACGACAGTTTAGATGTCACTCCAAACAGCAAATATCCCAAACCCCTCCTTAAAGTGCAGGTATTGTACTTCTCACCTCCAGGACTCAAGTCTGTCTAACCAGTTTCCCTGAATCCCTTCACAAAATATTACCCTGCTCACACTTCAACAACTGTAAATTTAATTAGTATTATTTAACAATGAATTACAATGTATTAATATTGTGATGTTCAAACTGAAGCAGTGAATTAACAAACTTCTGCCTTCACAGTGATGTTTGCCAAATATACTAAGCTAGCCAGTTTAGCTTCAAAAAGCATGATACTACAATGAAATATACAATACTCATTTCGTGATGCCTCAACCAATATTTGCAGATTTATAGTGAAACTGAATATATACTTGGTTTATTTGGCAAATTTTGTTACTGTACCTACTCTCAAGACTCGTTCAGGAAGATGATTGGGCTCATATTCTTATATGACTGATACCTTCCACATGCAGCATCTACTACTAACACCTAATTCATTTTCCTTCCACATCCCTACGTTTTTTCTTCCCACATCATCTACTACTAACACCTAATTCATTTTCCTTCCACATCCCTACTTTTTTCTTCCCACATCATCTACTACTAACACCTAATTCATTTTCCTTCCACATCCCTACTTTTTTTCTTCCCACATCATCTACTACTAACACCTAATTCATTTTCCTTCCACATCCCTACTTTTTTTCTTCCCACATCATCTACTACTAACACCTAATTCATTTTCCTTCCACATCCCATTTTTTTTTTCTTCCCATATCAGCCATTTGTTCCACTAAAGGTCGGGTATCCTGGAACAGGACAAAAATTCACCAGTATTCATTCAGTAGCTGCCTTGCCAGATGTACGTGAACACATTTCAAACAACAGAAATAAATGGTGCTTTCAGAAGATTGTTTTTCTATTTTTTATGAAGTCAGTTCTTTAGTACAGTGCATACAGTACTTAACTTGACCATAGTTACTTAATATTTATTCTGATAAAAATCTATTGGATTCCTCATATATTTTATGCTGTGCATAGTATTATTATTTTTTTTTTTATCTGATTAATAGCCCTTCACCAGCACATTTACTATCTTTTTGGTTACTACTTTATATATTATTTAAATGTTTGAGGCCAATAACCTTTTCAGGAGTCTAACTTTTTTTTTTTCCTTTTAAAAATAATCTTTTATTTAACTATCCCACAAGGTATTGTAATTTTTGTGTTGTTTTCCAGTATGAAACCTTGCGTAATACGGACAGATGTATCCATTTATTTTTATATTAATCCTTGTATAGTTTTATCAGTAGTTAAAAAAACACCTCAGCATTGTCTTGCTTTTTAAATTTAATGAAAATTAATATAAATTAGCATCTCACACGGTGCTTTTTTTTTTCTATTTTAACAACACGTGTACATTTTTCACCCTGTGTTTTATGTTAAGTGTTGAACTCCTGTGAATGTGGAGAGAGTTGGCAATTATATTTGTTTGAAGAATGAAGTCCAAGAACTCTGGCTGAAACAGTTGACTATTAACCACAATGTGGAGAGGAAACTTGAAATGTTTCTGTTGTCCGTCCTGGACTATTATCCAGTCACAACTGTAGAAGGTTTTAGGAAGACTGTGCAAACGTTGCTTTTCTTTTAATGTTGAAAGAAGGGCATTATAGAAATAGATTATCAAATATAGCATCTCCATATCTTCTTAATGCACTACAAAGTTGCTTGCAGTTCCTGCTACTTTACTGTTGGGTTAGTGTTTGTTGAACTTTAGTGGCAATGTGTAAGCTATGAACATTTCTCAGAGTACAGTCAAACCCCAAAATTTGAGAATTATGGATGGAGGGCTGAACCTCCTCCACTGCTTGCACTAAATAACCGACATGGGTTTAGCTCTTCACATTTAAATATACATAATGACAGAGGCTTCACTAAAACTGAATATACAAATCTTACAAAAATTCTGTTTGTACAGTAGGCTGTATGTTGCAGACTTAAACTTATTTTGTGTTTTGAGGTAATATATCTGAATATATCACTGTAAATCTATTGACAATGGTTAGAAAGAACAAAAAGGCACAATACCATGACTGGAACAATATACAAATATGCCACATATAGGAGAAAGAAGCTTATGATGATGATTCAGTCCAGTATGGCTAGTCAATGGTTCAGGTCAGACTGAAACATCGTCATAAGTTTCTTTCTCCTATGTACAGGTTATTTGTGTATGGAATGGTTAGGAAGAAGAGAGATTTGATTGTGCGAAATCCATTGAGAACATTCTTAACAAAATCCTGTGGTTAGTTATCAAGTTAGGGTTTGTACACCAAACAAGTAAAATAGGCACTGTGAAGAACTCACCCACATGAGAGGCCCTTCACAAGATGACTTTCAGTAAAACGTTTGATAAGCTAATCACGTGAATTACAGCTCATGAATTTTGGGGTTTGACTGTAAAATGCACTCACATTTACGACTGTTGTAAAATGAATAAGCAGTTAGCAAGGAACATCAAGAAATTTATCTATTAAAATGCATAGTAAGCTTGTTCACAAATTAAATACATAGTATAGTTATTATTTTAGTTGGATGCAATTGATTATTTTTGTAAATGTAACAAAATTGTATCAAATCCTTATTTTGTTTATCTGCCATAGGTAGATAGAAAGCTATATTCTGTTATACTGTAATTATAATTATTACCTTTATAATCATGAGGAAGCACTTAACCTTTAAGGGTCATACAGCACCTGGGGAATGGGAGGCAATCAGGTTTGATCCAAGAGAAGGAAGGATAATTTCAATTCCTTAGATCAAGAGCCCTTCACTAGCATTAGGGCCCCCCCCCCCCTCTTGTATAGTATATTGCACTTATAGTAAACCCTCAATATAACAGACTTAAAATTAAGTGTAAAATCCACTGGTTAACTTGTACTTCTAACTCCTTTATTTTTGTTTATTGTAATAGATCTGTAAATGGTATGTACAATACTATATTAAGTGTACACTAGAGTACTTTAGTGTGCTTTTTACTATTTTTCAGCATTCTGCTATAACGGTCACAAGTGATCCACCCCATTATAGCCTGTTATATTGAGTGTTTACTGTATCTTATGGTATGTTTGTGAGTGTCATCTTGTGTAATGATATACTTGTCACAATGAAAAAGTGCTTAATTAGATTTACACTAACTTTTTAAAGAAATACAGTATTAACTACAGCATTTAGGTACTGTTATGTTTTGTTTATTAGTGATGTAATTTTTTTTATTTTTGAAGAGGCATTAGAATTGTATAGGACTGTTGAGTTGTCACATCATTTCCCTCACTTTATGTGAATTTGCTATTATGTGGTGTTTTATTTCTATATGTAATTCTATCTGCAATATGCATTGACCATATGCATATTGTATATTCTTATGGGGAATTAGTCTTATAGCCTGATTGATTTTAATGCATCTGCCATGTGCTTGGAATGCATCCAGAGCATAAGATAAAGGACATCTATTTTATTTCATTGTTTATTACTGTAATGATATTGGAAAATTCTTCAGAATGTGAAAAATTTGGTATACTCGTGTTTCCCAATCTTCTGTGCCTGCCACCCCCATCATTGACGGATTCCCTCTTTGACGGAAACAGTTTTATTACACCGACTTTGATGATATTTCCTTTAGCGCTCCTCACCGCCCTTCCTAACTCTACCTCTGTTATACTCTTCACCCTCACCGATCTCTGATCAGCACGGTATGACCCTTATGGGTTTAGCGCTTTGTTATAATTATAATATGCCTACCGTCCCTCTCAGAGTTAACTAGCCCCTCCGTGTCTACTGCCTCCCCCCCCCCATCTTTTAAATGTTGATTAAGTCTGCTAGGAGACAGCATAGCCCAGGTTGGGAAGCACAGCTGTATACTAAATTAGCAGGATAACAGATATCTGTGTTTATATGGTGATGAATAATGGAAAATGTCTGCCATTGTATTAAATGATGAGTTATATGGTGATGAATAATGGAAAACGTCTGCCATTGTATTAAATGATGAGTTTACCAAAATGTGATGTGAAGAATATTAAAGCACTGTTAATTATCTTGTTACATTTGTTCACTGAATATGCTTTCTCTGGGTTGGCAAATGTGAGGCCTGTGAAGGCAACCCGTTCACCGGCTTATATTGTCTCTTGCTGACAAGTAGGAAGTCGATGACACAGCTTGTAGAGCTGGCTTTTATTGGGGTGTTTTGTTCTATGTGTTCCACACAGTGGACAGTTGTCCCAATAAAGACTTTGCAATTTGTGTCATTGTTTCTATCATCATTCTCTGTTCATATGCATTTTTTTAAAAATATCTACATTGTAGTAACAATCATAATAATTATTATTGTTATTACTGTTAAATTAGTGTTACTTCTAACTCATTTTAATACTATCAGTTATTGATTTTCCTAGTGTAATTAGGTAAAATGGGCAGATAGTGAACATCAGAATGGTTATGATGTGTGTATTATATTTGTGGGGAAATGTTATACCCATAAGGGTCATACAGTGCACAAGGAATGAGAGATAATTGGGTTTGATCCCAGGAAGGGAAGGATGGCTCAAATTCCTTGGATCAAGAGATCTTTACCAATATCATGGCAGTCCCAGTCAAGGGCTACGAAGTGTGGAAATTAAAAAAGACAAACATAACAATTTAATATGTATAGCCCATTATTATTACGAGATTTTATTGTTATGACCAGATCCAAATGAATGATTAAAGTGTCAAAAAAGGTTAATGTAAGTGTTTCCTTAAGAGAACCTTTTTTTTTAACAGCAGCCATCTCCCACCGAGGCACAGTGACCCAATAAAGAAGAAACTTTCATAAAGTTCTTCTTAATGCAGAAGAAGGGGTTACTAGCCCCTTGCTCCTAGCATTTTTCTTTTCACATTTAGTAATATATATACAGGAGAAGGGGGTTACTAGCCCCTTGCTCCCGGCATTTTAGTTGCCTCTTATGACATGCATGGCTTGTGCAGGAAGGATTCTACTTTGTTATATAGTATACAAGACAACTTATATACTATATAACATGTGCAACACCCGGGTATTTTTATTTTGAAGACATGCCGATCAGTGTTTTTTTTTCACTTCAATACAGAGACAATGGTTGGAGAAGACGTCTTCAAAATATAGATACGCAGATATTGCACATGTCTAATTCATCAACATGTTGTATTGTTATCCCAAGGATGCAACGATATGATCATTCAGTAATGTTTTTAGAAGTGTCGAGGGACAGAATTATTATTATAATAAAGGGGGAAGTGCTAAACCCATAGGATTATACAGTGCCTGTGGGGGGCATGGGTAAGGTATTCAGGCTTAATTCAGGGAACTGGAGCACAGCTCCAATTCCCTAGATCAAGAGCCCCTCACCAGCATCAATGAACCTTCCTTGTGGGGCAGAGGGGCATTAAAGTCTGTATTAATGCAACAAGCTCTATGGTCAAAATCTTCACCGCCCTTACAAACTCTCTCTCATATTCTCCACGCTTGCTAGTTTCAGATCAAACATATTACACAGTTCACACACCCTACCCTGCAGTGCTGTATGACCCTGGTGGGTTTAGTGCTTAGTTTTGATTATAATAATCATAATAATAATCTGTGGTCAAACATTAAAACAAAATCTAAAAAGTTGGCTTATAAAATACATTGATAGAAAATTTAAAATATTTTGTAGATGGAAGGGAGCAAGGCAGCACATAATTCTGGTTAAGAATTATTATATGTTATATTCATGGGGAAGCACTAAACTCACAAAGGTTACACAAATAACCCGCACTTAGGAGACCGAAACTTATCATGACGTTTTGGTCCAACTTGGAACATTAATAAGTCACATTAACAAAACGACTGAAACGTCATAGTTTGTCACCTAAGTGCTGGCTATGTATGTGCCGTTTAAGCCATGGTACTGCAGAAGAAAGAACCCTTGCGCTGTTCCATATTTTCACTGGCTTCAAATTGAGCCATTGTTTATTATGTTTCACCACCTGACGACAGTCACCATTGGGTGGAACGATGGCTCAACTGAAAGCCAACAAAAACATGGAACACCAAAAATAGGTGCTGCATATGTGGGACCTTCCTGTACTCTACCTGTTCACTAACAACAACTGGAAATACACATATGACCCTCTCCTCCATCCTCTACAACTGTGACTGTTGGACTTTAGTGTGGGTAATGTGATGTGTTGGGTGATGTGTGGGTACTGATTGTGGCTATGATGTGACTGGTAATGATGAATGGCAAGTCTTTCAAAAAAAAAAAAATTCCAAATTGTCGTAAAAAATAATAATTGTAAACCATCCCACAGGCGGAGATTGAACTTGTGAGTTTTACAACTCACTCGCCACGAGTTCAATCCCTGCCCGTGGTATGGTTTGTTTGCAATCGTGTCACTATGATTTCTTGAGTCAATAATAATTGTAAAAGGAAAAATAGATATATTTTAAAGTTGCTGTCACATCGCATCTTTCATATCATTATTAAGAGACTAATGTTATTGCACTGTGTAAGCTAAATAATAATTGCTTACGGTGTTTACAATAATTATTAATTTTGGGAAGTGCTGTACCTTCAGGGCTCATACAGCACACGAGCTTTTATACTCGATACATATTTTTCAAGGACAAACATTTCTTCAATTGTGTTAGTTTAAAAATAAAATAGTTATTAAACTGCTTTTTATTAACTCAAACATTTAATGAAGACTATTACAATAGAAAGGATATTTTTATGTACAAAATCATCACATAGCAATTATAAATGTTATGATATTGTGCAGATATATGATGGTTCTTCTATTTTGCCCTCCTTCTGTTCTTTAGACTTCAGTGCTAGGTATGACCCCTGAAAAGAAAATAAATTATTTTTAAGAGACCCCGGTGCTTTAGTATAATAATAATAATGATGATGATAATAATAATACAGTGGACCCTCAACCAACGATATTAATCCATTCCAGAGAGCTCATCGTTAGACGAAATTATTGTTAGTTGAATTAATTTTCCCCATAAGAAATAATGGAAATCAAATTAATCCATTCAAGACACCCAAAAGTATGAAAAAAATACTTTTACCACATGAAGTATACATTTTCCTACACACAAACAGAAGGATAGATGACTTAAGAAATCGTAATGACACGATTGCAAATAAACCATACCCCCGGCCGGGATTGAACCCGCGGTCATAGAGTCTCAAAACTCCAGCCCGTCCAGCTAACGCGACGGGCTGGAGTTTTGAGACTCTATGACCGCGGGTTCAATCCCGGCCGGGGGTATGGTTTATTTGTAATCGTGTCATTACGATTTCTTAAGTCATGTTGACGGCAGTGAAGGGACTTGAGCTAGAGTTCGTCATGGCCACGCTAGCTGGAGATTCGTCTGTAAAAACTTGCATTTGTGGTCACAGAGGTGCCTGTGCTAACTTTCCTATGGTGTAGAAATATACCTAGTTGGATGAATCTTATTGTGGCTAGCTGGTCTAGTGGCTAACGCGACGGGCTGGAGTTTTGAGACTCTATGACCGCGGGTTCAATCCCGGCCGGGGGTATGGAGAAGGATAGATGCACAACACATGTATACATATGTATATTGTGTAATGAAGACTAAATGACACTTACCTTTATTGAGGATGTGGTGATGAGTGATGGGATGGGAGGAGGGGATATGATGGATGTTATTATTTTTTGGAAGGGGAATCCCCTTCCATGAGGACTTGAGGTAGCAAGTCCTTTTCCAGGGTTACCTCCCTTCTTTGTTTTTTAATGCCACTAGGACCAGCTTGAGAGTCACTGAATCTCTGTCAAACCAAAAATCTGTCCAACCAATTATTATTATTATAATCAAGGGGGAAGCGCTAAACCCAGAGGATTATACAGCGCCTGGGGGGGATGTGGAAGGCATTCAGGCTTAATTCGGGGAACTGGAGCACGGATCCAATTCCCTAAATCAAGAGCCCCTCACCAACATCAAGGACTGTCCAACCAAAAATCTGTCCATAGAGCTCTGTACCTTGCGTTCCTTTAAGAGTTTCCTAAAATGGGCCACAACATTGTCATTGTAATAGTCACCAGCACGGCTTGCAATAGCTGTGTTAGGGTGATTTTCATCCATAAAGGTTTGGACGTCAACCCACTTTGCATAAATTTCCTTAATCTTTAAAGGAGGCAACTTCCTCAATTTCTCTCTCTGCTCCTCTGAAGCAATTTCCTCAGTTGTGGCCTCTTGGTGTTGCAGATGCTCTTGCAGCTCATCAGTGGTTAGTTTTTCATCATTGTCCTCCACGAACTCTTCCACATCCTCCCCACTAACCTCCAATCCCAAGGACTTCACTTGTTGAGGTTTCAATCCTTCAGCCTCTATGTACTCCTTGAATTCCTGCACATATTTTTCAGCCACTTTTTGGTTCGAACTGGCAGCCTCACCATGCCTTATTACACTATGTATGCCACTGCGATTCTTAAATCTCTCAAACCAACCTTTGCTGACCTTAAATTCACTCACATCACCACTAGTTGCAGGCATTTTTTTAATTAAATCATCATGCAACTGCCTTGCCTTTTCACATATGATCGCTTGAGAGATGTGATCATATGTGCACTTTTCTCAATAAAAGCTTCCTTGATTGCCTTTCTGTTGGCCAAGATAGCAGCGATGGTTGATTGGGGTTTGTTATACAACCTGGCCAGCTCGGAGACACTCACTCCAGTTTCATACTTTGTGATGATCTCCTTTATTTCAATTGTAATTCTCACCCTTTTTACCACAGGGTTGGCACTAGAAGCTTTCTTGGGGCCCATGGTGGCTTATTTTGCAGTTACAAACACTAAAAACACTGGAACAATACAAAATGTACCTAATTTATGAGTGGATGCGACCGGACTGGCTTGTAAACACTGGCACACTAACTGAAGACAGGGCAGCTAAGGCGCACTCAGGCCAGACAGGACATGTAGACACGTTCTGGACAAATCATGTTGGTCAAGTTTTTCATCGTTGGTCGGGCCAAAATTTTTATGCTCAAACGCTTCATTGTTCGAATTTATCGTTAGACGATGCCTTCATTGGTCAGGGGTCCACTGTACGTATTGTAATAATTTAAAGAAAAATTCAACTAGTTTGAAAAATAAAATGTATTTTTTTAAAAAACTCTTGTTATTATTAGCTACAAATTCTTTTCCGTGTGATAATTTAACACAGAAATTAAAAAAAAAGCCATATAAAACATTTACAGAATATAGTACAGTACTAGATTCCATAATTCAACTTAGAAAGCTAGACCTAAGTAGAAATATAAAAAAAAAACAATGTTCTACATGTATTATGTTCAGAAGTGTCAAGAAAGGTATATACAGGTGAAAAGACACCTGTATATACCGCATTATAACATTTTTACAATATACCTCCTGCGTCTTCTGAAGATACTCTGGCAGAGGCTTGTTCCAGTCATCTGGTGGTGACTCTCGTTTATCCCAAACAGTGTTGGTGTAGTGACCCTTTAAACGCTCTTGGCGACGCTTCATTTCACTTTTGATCACTGAAGTCTGGTGATAAGGTGAGACAAAATAACTGTAAATGAAAATAATTCATATTGACTGGTTATCTTAAGTTATGTTTACATGTGTTATGCTGTGTATGTATGGGTGTCCCGTGGCTGGGTTGGCAACACATTTGCCTGACACACTGAGTGTCCATGGTTCAAAGCCCAACTGGGTGGAAATATTGGGCATGTCTCCTTACACCTGCTGTCACTGTTCACCTAGCAGCAAGTAGGTACCTGGGCGTTAGTTGACTGGTGTGGGGTGGCATCCTGGGGGACAAGACTGAAGGACTACAATGTAAATAAGAGACAGTCCTCGATGACGCACTGCCTTCCTTGGGTTATCCTGGGTGGCTAACCCTCCGGGGTTAAAAACCCCAACAAAACTTACCTTAACAAAGATCTGTCTGCCCCTAAGATGATCGTAAAATTTTTAATTATTGCATTCATGGGACGAGTGCTAAATATGTTGGGGGTCACAATGAACTAGGGAAATGGGAGGCATTCAAATTCAATCCAAGGAAAGAGGATAGCTCCAAATTTTGGGATCAAGAATATTTCACGAGCATGAAAGCTCTTCCCCCAATGCAGTAAAAAATTTCAATTTTAACTAAGCTCAAACCTAATTAAAGTTAAAATATATAGAAATATAAGTACAGTGGACCCCCGCATAACGATTACCTCCGAATGCGACCAATTATGTAAGTGTATTTATGTAAGTGCGTTTGTACGTGTATGTTTTGGGGTCTGAAATGGACTAATCTACTTCACAATATTCCTTATGGGAACAAATTCGGTCAGTACTGGCACCTGAACATACTTCTGGATTGAAAAAATATCGTTAACCGGGGGTCCACTGTAATTATGACAGTACTCATAACCAGTGATGGAATAAGTGATGATGAAAGTGTTTCTCCTTTTTTGGGTCACCCTGCCTCAGTGGGAAATAGCCAATATGTTAATTTTTTTTAGCTTTTACATTTATGTGGTACACGACTGGTTAAGGGATACCCAGGAATATTACCAATGACTCCAGGTCTTTATACTTTCTATACTGTAAGCAGTGATCATAGTCTGCTTGCCAGTTGCTGCAATCCTTCGTTTCACCATGGATGAAATACTGATGAAATTTTGCCTTTATACTTCGACAGTCTTTGTATTCTTCTTTATAGCGCTCACAAGGCCGTACCTGCAAACACAAGTGTGGTTCAAATTAAACAACTGTAGTAAATATTAAAAAGGTTTATGCAAATCATCCATCGTCATCAATTTAGGCTAATATGGAGATCCAGTCCTGAGATATCACCCATTATTTTCTTTTATTAAACACAATATTACTACCTATACCCTGACACAAATTGTCACTCCTAAGACATTATTATAATTAAAGTGCTAAACCCTAAGGGTCATACAGCACTGCAATATTTCTTGTGCAAATTGTTATTTTTAGATATGTTTGCAAAAAATAATATTTATTTTGGGATGTTCAGTACTTTAGGACCAATTAATGACTAGTATTAACACTACTGATCAATTATAACATAAAAATTAACAAAATGTGTGCCAGTCTTATATCTACCGCTGATGGTAAGATAAAATTTTCTTCGGATTTTTAACCCCAGAGGGTTAGCCACCCAGGATAACCCAAGTCAGTGCGTCATCCAGGACTGTCTGTCTTATGTCCACTGGGGTCCTCAATCTTGTCCCCCAGGATGCAACCCACACCAGTCAACTAACACCCAGGTACCTACTTGATGCTAGGTGAACAGGACAACAGGTGTAAGGAAGCACATCGAAATGTTTCTATCCCGCTGGGAATCGAACCCGGACCCTCCGTGTGTGAAGCGAGAGCTTTGCCAGCCAGGTCATGGGGGTCACCGGTGTTAGTTACATTGGGTTATGCTTCAAACATTTGCACAACACAACAGTCTATATTATAAACATGGGGGAGCGCTAAACCCGTAGGATTATACAGCACATGTGTGGGGGGATGGAAGGTATTCAGGCTCAATTCAGGGAACCGAATCACAGATCCAATTCCCTAGATCAAGAGCCCCTCACCAGCATCAAGGAACCTGTGATGAATGGTTTGAAAAACCGACAAGTTGAAGATTGAGACACTTATACAGCATATGGGAATCTATATTCAGGAAACGTTTCGCCACACAGTGGCTTCATCAGTCCAATACAAAGAGGAAGGCGTAAGGAGAGGAGGAGAATGAGGTAATCAGTCCCTCAACCTGGAGTCGATGTGTTCAGTCCATCAATCTTGTAGAATGTACAGCATAGGGCCGTAGACGTGGCTTATATACTGTAGTGAGGTGAGGTGAAGCAGATGGAGGCGGGGTCATAGTGGTACCATCCACTAGTCGAAGTAGGTCTTGGTCCAAAGGTTGAACAAGTGTTGAAGAATTCTTTGTAACAAGATCCCATGATGCTGCAGTGTCTGACAGTTGTGATGAATGGTTTGAAAAACAGACAAGTTGAAGATTGAGACACTTATGCTGCATAAGTGTCTCAATCTTCATCAAGGAACCTCCCTTGAGGGGAACAAAGTCCATAATGATGAACACTTGGTATATACAGTGACTCACCAGCCAGGACAGTGCTGGGACACTTGACAGATCATCTGCACAAACTTCTCCTTCCATTTTCTTACACAAAGTTCATCTGTACTTGTTGTTGTTGGGTTTATAAGGGCCACTAACAGCTTATTGATCCTTCTATATGTCTTCTTTTTTATGGTTATAAGGGCCACTGGCAGCTTATTGAGCCTTCTGTTCTATTCTCTACAGTACTACACATATGCTGCTATGTATGATATGTAACTGTATTTGTGTGTATCTGAATAAACTTACGTACTTTCTAGGGTACTTGGTACTTGGTAGGGTATGCAAAAGAAGAAAATTAAAAGTGAATACAGGAAAGAGTAAGGTTATGAGGATAACAAAAAGATTAGGTGATGAAAGATTGGATATCAGATTGGAGGGAGAGAGTATGGAGGAGGTGAATGTATTCAGATATTTGGGAGTGGACGTGTCAGCGGATGGGTCTATGAAAGATGAGGTGAATCATAGAATTGATGAGGGGAAAAGGGTGAGTGGTGCACTTAGGAGTCTGTGGAGACAAAGAACTTTGTCCTTGGAGGCAAAGAGGGGAATGTATGAGAGTATAGTTTTACCAACACTCTTATATGGGTGTGAAGCATGGGTGATGAATGTTGCAGCGAGGAGAAGGCTGGAGGCAGTGGAGATGTCATGTCTGAGGGCAATGTGTGGTGTGAATATAATGCAGAGAATTCGTAGTTTGGAAGTTAGGAGGAGGTGCGGGATTACCAAAACTGTTGTCCAGAGGGCTGAGGAAGGGTTGTTGAGGTGGTTCGGACATGTAGAGAGAATGGAGCGAAACAGAGTGACTTCAAGAGTGTATCAGTCTGTAGTGGAAGGAAGGCGGGGTAGGGGTCGGCCTAGGAAAGGTTGGAGGGAGGGGAAAAGGAGGTTTTGTGTGCGAGGGGCTTGGACTTCCAGCAGGCATGCGTGAGCATGTTTGATAGGAGTGAATGGAGACAAATAGTTTTTAATACTTGACGTGCTGTTGGAGTGTGAGCAAAGTAACATTTATGAAGGGGTTAAGGGAAACCGGCAGGCCGGACTTATGTCCTGGAGATGGGAAGTACAGTGCCTGCACTCTGAAGGAGGGGTGTTAATGTTGCAGTTTAAAAACTGTAGTGTAAAGCACCCTTCTGGCAAGATAGTGATGGAGTGAATGATGGTGAAAGTTTTTCTTTTTCGGGCCACCCTGCCTTGGTGGGAATCGGCCAGTGTGATAATAATAATAAAAAAAAAACTTTCTATATGTTTTCTTTATTGTTATAAGAGTCACTAACAGATTATTGACCTTTCTATATACAGGTAAGAGCAGCATGCCAAAGCCACTTATATTGTTATAAGGGCCACTGACAACTAATTGATCCTTTTATAACTCACTTCTTGGGTTTCTCCCCTCAAGGAAGGTTCCTTGATGTTGGTGAGGGACTCTTGATTTAGGGAATTGGATCTGTGCCCCAGTTCCCCGAATTAAGCCTGAATGCCTTCCACATCCCCCCCTAGGCGCTATATAATCCTCCGGGCTTAGCGCTTCCCCCTTGATTATGATAAGAATAATAATAATTCTTGGGTTTATAAGGGCCACTGACAAATTATTGATCCTGCTATGTCTGTTCTTGTTGGGTTTATAGGGCCACTAACAACTTACGTCGTTTTGAGCTCTTCTTCCCAATGTATGAACAAGAGATATTGCCTAAATTTGGACCATAAAAGAAAAGAGAACAGGAGTCCCTTTCAAAATAGAAATATAAGGTAGAAGTTTTAGAAGGCTTACATAATATTTAAGAGCTAGACATAATTTCCCTTCAGGTCAGGTGGACTGTTCAACTACCTCCCAGCATATATGAGGGGGATTAAAAACAGACCCCTGGCTGTCTTTAACAAGTCACTGGACTGGTACCTACAGTACCTGACCATCCGGGCAGTGGTTCGTACGTCGGTTATACGTAAGTTTATTCAGGTATATATAAATACAGTTACATAGATTATCATACATAGCAGCATATGTGTAGAGAACCTAGGATAGTAACAGCCTGATTGATCAGGTTCTGAGCCACCATGAGGCCTGGTCACAGACCGGGCCCCACGGGCGTTGATCCCCGAAACCCTCTCCAGATACACCAAGACCCTCATGTGGAAAAAAGAACCATACCATGGGTGGGGATAGAACCCGCGATCAGTCATAAAACTCCAGACCGACTTGCTAGCGACTGGGCCAGATGGCTACAATAAAATTCCTCCAATAGGTGAGTCAATAACCGGTTTCCATTATAACCGTAAAATATCAAGATAGCGGACAAATGGAACTGGTGAACGGTGTCCCTCGTACAATGTGCCCGACGGGGGAATAAAAATGAAGATTCTGAGAACGAATGTCCCAGGAAGGACGGGGATGAAATGTATCACCAATGTTCAGGCACACTACCAAGGATGGTGCGGAAATCAAGGACCACAATGGAAAAAGTACCCTTGACATTTTGGATTATCACCGGGGTGACCCGGTGGCCTGGTGGCTAAAGCTCCCGCTTCACACACGGAGGGCCCGGGTTCGATTCCCGGCGGGTGGAAACATTTCGACACGTTTCCTTACACCTGTTGTCCTGTTCACCTAGCAGCAAATAGGTACCTGGGTGTTAGTCGACTGGTGTGGGTGGCATCCTGGGGGGACAAGATTGAGGACCACAATGGAAATAAGCCAGACAGTCCTTGATGACGCACTGACTTTCCTGGGTGGCTAACCCTCCGGGGTTAAAAATCCCAGCAAAATCTTATCTCTCTATATAAACATTTATAAAGATCAATATAAACATAGATATAGATCAATTTATTTCATTATAACCATAATTACTAATCAAGTATTGATCTATATAAATGTAAAAATCTTATAAATATTGATAACTGTGTTAACGGATCAATATATATATATATATATATATATATATATATATATATATATATATATATATATATATATATTATATATATATATATATATATAATATAATATAATTAGTGTGTATATAAATTTATTAATACATTTATAGTTAACCGGAAATTTCTATGGGTCATGGGGGTTTGATCCGAGGAAGAGGAGGGCAGCTCCAACTCCTTGGATGAAGAGAATATGTACAAATCCGAGCTGAAATTATTATTGAATAAATAGAATTATTATAATAATTACGAATGGTGATAATTATGATAATTCGGCATTATTATTACTGTTTTATAATTGTTATTGTATTAAATGATAATTCAATATATTTTTGTAATCTTGCTGAGAAAAATCATTGTTTTTTTTTTTTCAAGAAATTCTCAAAAATATTAATTTGTAGAGATATTAATCTACATTACTGGTCTATTATAATAATTTCTCAATTAAAAAAATTGTCATAATAGGTCAAAATTATTATATATTGAATTATAACTATTAATAATGACGTCATGTTTGTTATCACTTGTTAGATAACAATTCAATCATTTTTAATATTTTTGAAGCCCATATATACACTGTTAGATAGCCCACACACCGGTTTTTAATATATAAAGCTGAAAGGGAAGGTTAAATGGGAGGTTTAGGTATATTTTGAGTCAAAATAAGGAAATTTTGAGATAAGGGGAGAAATATATTTGAAGAGCCAATCAGCTGGGCCAGCGTGGTCGCCGGATTCCTTTAATTAATGACATTTTTTCGAATATATCGCCGTTTTTGGGACTTTTTGGGTATATGGAGGGGATGAAACAGGAATAATGAAAACATGGGTGGTTAAAATGATGTATAGGAGGGAATATAAGAGGATAAAATGGATTAAAAACAACATTAACTCCCCATAGTACACCATTTATACACCTATAATAACTCTATGACAAGAATATTGCATGAAAAATATAATTATGAATAAAAAAAATATATAAAAACCTATTTCTTTCTGTTATAACAGCAAATATAAGTCATCTCAACTGACTTTTCTGGGCTGTTCTCAGTAGTTTACCATATAATATAATATATAATAACGATATAAAACTGCATAATTTATGCATGGGGCTTAAATAAAAGCTCCATTAAATATTTTATCCCCAAAAAAGTATATTGTATTGGTTAATTTAATTGTTAAAGGAATGAGACAGCAGACGACAACAGTGTTGATGTCAAACCTGTGGAGTGTGGCCTTATATATTGCTTTTTATAGTCCTCATGGCCTCTAACACCTATTACCACTCTCTCATCATCATCCTCACCTATCTGGCCACCACCTATGGCCTGGGGGAGGTTATATATGCCGTTAATGCAGGTGAATTATGGAATTATAACAGCCGTTGTCAGGGTTCCTTCCTCGACCTTAATGTCTATTACTGAGGGATGTTTATGTTAATATAAAACTGTGGTTTTTGGGTTTATATTGGGGTTAATGTGGTAGGCCTATGGAGCTCTGGTACCCCCCTCCCCCCCATACATCCCTCATCAATGTATAGTTACGGTATCTATTTGGATTTATCTATTGGTTCATATATTATCTATTTGTATTTATCCTATTCGTAATTTACATATGTATTTCTCTATATATATTTGTATTAATTATCATTTTGTATTTACTGTAATTATATATTTGTATTTATTGTAATTATCTATTTGTATTTATTGTAATTATCTATTTGTATTTATTGTAATTATCTATTTGTATTTATTGTAATTATCTATTTGTATTTATTGTAATTATCTATTTGTATTTATTGTAATTATCTATTTGTATTTATTGTAATTATCTATTTGCAGTTATCTGTCATTATCAATTTGTAATTATTCATAATTATTGGTAATTATTTGCAGTTATCTGTAATTATCAATTTGTAATTATTCGTAATTATTGGTAATTATTTTTAATTATCTATCCATTATTTATAGCTGGAGAAGCAGATATATATTGCAGTTATTTGTTCTTTTTTTTTTTTTCAAAATTTAAGATGGCGTATTAGTGTTTATATTAATATAAATCTACTGTACTTTATGTTGTAGTTAGAATTATAGGCCTATATTATCATCATATGTAAGTGCTAAACCCACAAGGGTCTAATTATTATTATTATAATCAGAACTAAGCACTAAATCCACAAGGATCAATTATTATTATTATAATTAAGTGCTAAACCCATAAGGGTCTGTTATTATTGCAATCAGAACTAAGCACTAAACCCATAAGTGTATAATTATTATTATAATCAGAACTAAGGACTAAATCCACAAGAATCTATTATTATTATCATTAAGTGCTAAATCCACAAGGGTCTATTATTATTTTTATAATCAGAACTAAGTGCTAAACCCACAAGGGTTGCACAGCAATAGGCCATTCCTATAGGGTGCTAGTTCCATACCCCAGGCCACTCCCCCCCCCCCCTGAATAGTATAATTACTATTGGTACTATTATGCTAAGTGAACAATTGTACAAAGTAGGTAAAATGCTAATTTTAGCCACTGTGAGAACCTTCTGGGTTTAGAGCTTCCCATATACCATATGGGATTTCATTTTAATATCAACAAGTACACAAAGCCTCATTTTACCTCGGATGAAGTGCCATTTTTTGGTTCTTTTAACAGCCTGGTTGATCAGGCTCTGATCCACCAGGAGGCCTGGTCACAGACCGGCCGCAGGGGGCGTTGACCCCCGGAACTCTCTCCAGGAGGACCATGTTCTTGTTGGGTTAGTAAGTGTATTTAGATACCGTTACACATAAGTACCATTATTATACGTAGTAACGCATGCAAAACAACCACAGTCAAAAAATAGTGAAATTCCAAGCACTTTCATTATTTCTCACATTATCATTATTCTTGATAATGTGAGAAATCACAAAATCACTTGGAATATCAGTATTTTTTCACTGTGGTTATTTTGCATATCGTGATATTACCTGTTTATTGTGTAAATAACCATACAACGTAACCCAAAAAAGTCAAGGCGACTTACGTATTTCCATTGGGGTTGTAAGATGAACATTTTCTGATATTATGACTAGTTTATTGCATAATTGTTATTTGTGTACATGGGTTCATTTAGTAAGTTTATTTAGGTACAGGTACACATAATTACAGTTATCATATATAGTGTGGAATACCCACCAGGGTAACCCAGAAAAGTCATTGACTTATTCCCGTTCTGAACTGTACAAGCATTAGGTTACTAAGAGACAGTTGTGTTCATGTGTTCGCTTATTGACAGATATTTTGTTGTATACACATGTTCAGTTATGAAGAGCAGTTCGATTAACTAGGTTGACCTAATTTGGTTAAGGTTGATTCATGTTGCATACACACAAGGTGCCAGAGGGACATCGGTATTGTTCTAGTAGCATATTTTGTCTTTTGATATATTAGTTGAGGTTAAACTAGTGCACTAATTTCTTCTGATGTTATTCTGATATATTTCAGCATTAATATCAAAATGGAGGCAGAATAATCTCCCTGTGTAGCAGATTTGGAGGTAGGTAAGTAAGTTTATTTAGGCACAGATACACATTAGTGCAGTTATCATGCATAGTGTAAATTACCCACCAGGATAACCCAAAAAAGTCAGTGACTTATTTCCTTTGGGGTCATTTGGGTAGGAAGTGTAGTACAGCCTCTCCTTGCTTAGCGTCGTTTACCGACGACTTGGACTTATGACAGGCTCTCTGACCAGTATGCATACCTAAATAATGTATATTAGAGCTGATTTCCTCTGTTCTGTTTATTATAATATACACTACACTACTGTATAAACATTTAATAATATACCAGAAATGTTATGAATGGTGCTAAGGTGACATTAAAACAATATCAAAGATGGTTGACACAAACCCACTGCCATCATAATATGCTGCTCATTTAGTGACAGATGCATTTACCGATGCAGTCTTAGGAACGGAACTCTGTCGTTGAGTGAGGAGAGGCTGTAGTGCCTTTATTCTGAAGGATGCGTGGAGGTGGGAAACAGTGCCAGCACTCCAAAGGATAGGCGGAGGTGGTGCAAGGAGGGTCATTTGAACCATTCTGGCCACACATTTGAAACACAAACCTGAATGGCACTCTGGACTGTTAGTTAAGGTTACAAAATTAATAAAATATCTTTTCAGGTGGTGATGCACACATTGATGTTTATGGTGTGAGGTATGAGAAGGACCCCCTGACTGGTAAAGTGGGCACAGCTTCGGACTTCGGCAAGCAATTGGTTATTGGAAGAGTGCCACCTGGTGATCAGGTTAGTGACTGCAGTGCCATACTACAAGTACTTATAATTTGTATTTGAATTTTACTAAAGACTTGAAGAAAATTCAGCAGAAGAGAATTAATCAGGAACAGAGCACAGAAGTTTCACCTAATGCTCTGCATACTTTGCCTGAAATGCTCTGCATACTAAGGGGCTTTTTGTGTGCCCACCTAAATGTCACTCTTCTCTACAAACATCGTGTCATGCTGAAATAAAGAATCTAAATCTAACAAAACCACCAGTTGTGCATCTTACAGCTTGAAAGAAATTGAGTAAATATATTTTTTCCATCATCTATTAATGGACTGTCATGGGTGGCATCCTGGGTAGTGATAAGATATCCAGCTCTGAAATAAGCAGAGGCAGGATAACAGGTCTCAGTCTGTAGATTTTCATATATAAAAGTGCATGACTCGAGCCATTATTTACATGTGATTATAATTGACTTCATGAGTTATCTGGGGATTTGATCACCCATATTTCCTGTGTTGTGTATATTGAATTATAATTCTGATAATTTCCTAAATGTGAATTCTTAAAAGCTCAGTATTGTAAACGTGTCACTCATAATTTCTGACGTACACCAATAATCGTATCAAAATGGATTTTTGTAAACGGCAAATGGTTTTTTGTTAGGAACCTTTGCACTAAAATTTTTGTATCAGAAATGGTTATAAATCTTCAGAGATTTCCACCCATCTCGGATCATTATCAATTCTTGACTTGGGAATTGTCCCAGATGGACTGAAATGCTACGTATAAATTTATGTCCAATTTCTGGGTTAGCCATGATTGTTCCTGCTATAGTATTGTGACTTATTCATCAGAAGCAAGCCCTGCCTTTGAATTTTGAATAAATCTTGGTATATTTCAGGTGCTGTATCAGACTGAAAGGTATCACCATTCAACTTTTGGATATGAAATTCCTCTCAAAGGTGACGGAGACTACGTTCTTGTTCTTAAATTTTCAGAGGTGTACTTCAATGCACTAGATCAGAAGGTTTGTGTTCAGTGTATATCTTTTTAAAACATTAGTTAAACAAAGCTAGGGGCTGTCAGTGAGACATGTTTTCAGTAAGACATCATGTCAGTGAGACATGTCATCAGTGGTGAGACATGGTGTAGCCGGTGCTCCAACAGAGGAGAGAGATTAACATGTAAATGAGTTTTGGGTCAATCTTGAACTGGGAAAATATGGTGAAGATGTAAAAGTGAGAGAGTTGAAGAGAGGATTTCAAGGGTTGAAAATGTAATGGTTAGAGAATACTGGGGGCAACTGGGGGCACTGTAGTTTGGAAGGTTATAGAAAGTTTTATGGTTATCTTACCCTTCATGGGAGGTGCCTTGATGGAGGAGAAAAGCTCTTGATCCAATGAATTGAATCTACCCCTACCCTTCCTTGTGGTCATACCTAATAAACTTCCATTCTTCAGGTGCTGTATTACCCCCTATGGTTTTAGCACTTCCCATTAATATAATTATTCGCTTTAGAGTGACATCTGAACTGTCACATCTGCACACCTCTGGCAAGACAGCGATAGTGTGAATGATGGTGAAAGTGTTTTTTTTATGTCACCCTGTGTCGGTGGGAGATTAAGTAAGTTTATTCAGGTATACACAAGTACAGTTACATAGATTATCATACATAGCAGCATATGTGTAGAGAACCTAGGATAACCCAAAAAAGTCAGTGACTTGTTTCCATTGGCCTCTGTGTTAAAAAATAATAATAATAATAATATAATTCCTCTAATAAGAATAATTATGTATTTGCATCTGCTGATTGATTCAGATGGAGACATTATTGCAGACAGAATTTTCTTTCGATGCAGTAGGTATGGAATTAGGTCTGTCAGACATAATTTAGCTTATGTTTTCTTTCAGGTATTTGATGTTGTAATGAACAACGATATTACAGTAGTTCCGGCACTTGACATCTTCGGCAGAGTAGGCAGAGGCGTGGCTCATGACGAGTATGTTCCTTTCACAATTCTCTCCAACACACTTATAGTTGGGGGTCAAGAGAGTCCACTCAGAAGTAGCAAAGTCAAGGTTGACTTTGTCAAGGTAAGTTTTAAATGAAAAATAACTGTGATAATAATGGGAATGCTGATGATAATATATTATTATTATTACAATCGGAACTAGGCGCTAAACCCACAAGGGTTGTACAGTGCTGCAGGGTAGGATGTGCTAAAGATGTACTATGCCAGATCGGAGATAAGCAAAGGTGAAGAGTATGCCAGAGGCAGAATCAGCAAGGGTGGTGAGGAGTGCTAAAGGAAAGTATAATTGAATCTGGTGATAGTATTATAGTAATAATACAGTATGTATTGTAATTAATGTTAATAATAAATAATAATAATAATCTCCATTGGGAGGTAGAAAAGAATTCTTCCTTCTTAAGCCATGCGTGTCATAAAAGGCGACTAAAATGCCAGGAGCAAGAGTCTTGTAACCCCTTCTCCTGTATAATTGACTAAATTTAAAAAGAAAAACTTTTGTTTTTCTTTTTAGGTCACCCTGCCTCGATGGGATATGGCCAGTGTTGAAAAAAAAAAATAATATAAGTGAACATCTCCATAAGGCCAATTGGCTGCTGGACTGATCATTTTTTCAGGCTTCAGATGCAATATAGCCAGAATACCTGGCCATGTACAATGGACCTTCATGGGTTTAGTATTTTCCATGAATATTTTAATAATTCCGTCTTTCATTTATAATAAAAACAAATGTATTAATTTTTTTTAATTGATAATGAATTTAATGCATACTTTTTCTCTTGCAGGGTTACAAAGATAATCCGAAAGTCAATGCAATTTTTGTAATCAAGGGAAGATTAGATGGTAAGTTTCTTACAAACTTGACATAGAATAGTGTATGTATTGTGAATGAACTACCATCACCTCACTGAAGCTTCTCTGTGTAGTGCAGTTTTTAATTACTGTGATTGAAAATGTACATTGTAAATTGAACAGCACAATGAAGAGGCCTTTATATTATGTTATACAGGTACAGCATTGATTTTCTGGACCTTTGGTTCCAAAGCCTTTCTGGATTGCTGATTTTTTCCCCTTTAGAGAGCACAGTATTCCTTGGTCTTGGGGTCGGATAAGTGACATACAGTTTGGTAGTAAATACACTGCCGTGGGAATTTCAAGTTCCTTCTCGTAAATTTCTCCGAAAAATCGATGTTGTACCTGTATTCAGTTTATGATGTACAGTACTTTTTCATTCATATTTGCAAAAAAAGAGTAACATTGCATTGAATGTAAACAACATATAAGAAATTATTAATTTTCCTTACTATTTTGGAAAGTACAGTGCTACTGTTGCAAATTTAGAATCGGAAATAATCTTCATAATTTATTGTTAAATAATCACATTCTTGCAGATGTGCCCAAGCTGCCGCCTTTACCCAGGGAAGAGGATCTTGATAGTGATGTAGAGGAGCCCCGGCCGAGTGCAAACTTGCCTAACAGTAATAACCAAAACAACAAACAGTCACAGACTATGAAGCGCCGACCCAGCGGTCCTCGCACTCCCGACCCCTATGCCTTGGATGACACTAGTTCTATGCTACCCGTTTTTGTTGCTATAGGGGCCGCTATTCCCATTCTCTTTTGTCTGTGTAAACTGTGATGAAAGTACTGTATATATTTATATTTTCCAGAGCAAAGTGATTTACTTTGGTTTTTTTAAGGACTTTCTCTTGTATCCTAATACCTCTGTTCAAAAATAAATTTTGGAAATTATATTCATAAGAATGTATTTGATGATATCAGAAAAAGATGGCTTTTTAAAGTTGTAAATCATTCAGTATTGTTAAACTAAAAATATTAGTAGCCAAACATGCCAGTATTAAGTAAATAATAAGTACCTGGGGTTTTAGATTCATGGAAAATTAGGAGGGATTTAGCACCAATTGTTTTGGTATTTTTTTGACATTAATTTTTAATTAAACAGAGATTCATCAATGAGCCGGAGGTAGGGGATACTTTGCCATTATCTTACTAGTCTATGTGGTGCTCACAACTCATCTACTGCAACAAGAAAAGTGATAAATTAGACACATGTGCAACACTTGGGTATCCTGTCATATAGGACTGATGAAGCCACACAGTGGCTTCATCAGTCCTATACAAAGGTGAATGGTGAAGATCAGGAGTAGTTTGAGGTAGTCAGTCCCTCAGCCTGGAGTTGATGTAATCAGTCCATCAGTCTTGAAAAGATTGAGGGGCTGATTATCTCAAACTCCTCCTGATCTTCACCATTCTCCCTTGTATAGGACTGATGAAGCCACTGTGTGTCAAAACATTTCCTCAGTATAGATACTCAAGTCTAGGTAGTAGGTTGGTAGACAGCAACCGCCCAGGGAGGTACTACCGTCCTGCCAAGTGAGTGTAAAACGAAAGCCTGTAATTGTTTTACATGATGGTAGGATTGCTGGTGTCCTTTTTTTCTGTCTCATAAACATGCAAGATTTCAGGTACGTCTTGCTACTTCTACTTACACTTAGGTCACACTACACATGCATGTACAAGCATATATATGTATATATACACATCCCTCTGGGTTTTCTTCTATTTTCTTTCTAGTTCTTGTTGTTGTTTATTTCCTCTTATCTCCATGGGGAAGTGGAACAGAATTCTTCCTCCGTAAGCCATGCGTGTTGTAAGAGGCGACTAAAATGCCAGGAGCAAGGGGCTAGTAACCCCTTCTCCCGTATAAATTACTAAATTTAAAAAGAGAAACTTTCGTTTTTCTTTTTGGGCCACCCTGCCTTGGTGGGATACGGCCGGTTTGTTGAAAAAAAAAAAAAGATACTCGGGTGTTGCATATGTTTCTGATTTATCAACTTGTTGGTTCTCTGAACCATTTATCTACAACAAGGAAGTTTGTGGGTGACCCATTATTTTGTTTTAATTGTAAGTGAGAAATTAACCAAAGATTGCTTTGTTCTTTCGAACAGAGGTGAAAGTCTTTCTTGGGATCCAAGTTGTGTGGTATGTGCACATCTTAGCTTTTATTGATAGGTAATGGAGAACATATAATGTTTTTATCACCCTTCCCAATGCATTTATTCTTAAGGCATTTTGGAAAATTATTTATATTCGGTCCTTCATCACAAAAAATGCACATTAAGTTAAATGTGGTTATCCATGCACCCCTTCTACCTTCACTTTTGTGTAGATTGAGGGGATTTGTTCAGTTGTAATGGCACAAAATGTAAATCTGGGAGCTCGGGGCTCATCCGTTCCTTGAAAAAGTTAGTTATTTATTACGATTTTTTTGATACATAAGGATGACATTTGCTTGTACAGTATTTTTATACAACTTATTCATTTCTTCTGTCCAGGTTTCCGGTAGAGAATGAGATAAGCTGTGAAGTATTGCTGTTCTATATTGCGTCCATTTCTTAAGATAAGTGGCTTAGCGTGTAACCAAGAAACCTTGGACTAGATGTGAATTTTCTTGCTAAATGACTAAAAGTTTTTATAGTTGTATTTAATTTTGCTCTATTTTTTCTGAATTTTTATGGTTATTTGTTTACTGAATGTTTACTTTGTGTGGGCTTTGAATGCCCAGTGGGAGGGTGAAGGTCGGTTTGATAAAATATTGAAGCTAAAATGTGACATACAAATGGATGTAGGGAACAATTTTGTCCAGATGGAAACTTCATGGCTTTTACCAGAGTACGTCTTAAACTGGTGGACCACAAGCCAGCTCCACGGACAACATATAACACTGCACAGGTTGTAAATGTGTTGAGTTAGTTCTTCGGCAGTACAGTGTTGTGGGAATTTAGATATTGTAGATACCAGCTATCTCTCATACACATAACTGCTTACTTTAAACTGTACAGTAATCTCTTTCTTATTCAGAATAATGCACACAATGGGGTATCCCACTTCAACATAGCCTAATTTCATACAGTGCATTTTTTTTATATATTTCTCATCTATTATAAACATTTTTTATTTACAAACTTTTATTGGTTAAGTTAGGTTGCATTAACATAGAAAAAATAGCAAGTTACAAAGAAAATGTCTGGCAGTGAGATGTGTCAGTGAAACTGTAGAAAAAACCATACCACCCGTGGTATGGTTTTTTCAATTCCCACCCGTGGGGATTGAACTCGTGGTGAGTGAGTCGTTAAATTCCAGGCCAGCGTGTGATATGGTTTGTTTGCAATTGTGGCATTATGATATTGTCAGTCTTGAAACTGTAAACTATAAGGACTTTAAGGGCAGGTTGCCTAATTTAGAGAATGTTCCATATATTAAAAACCACACACCATCTGACCTCTAAACAAATAAAAATTACTATGAAAATAGACTTTCTAACTTAAAATATGAAACTTTTGCTCTTCTTAAAAAACAGTATTAGGATCATTCACATTTTGCTTACACTATTTATGGGATTCCACACCAAAAAAGAAAAACTGAATAAGTGCGAGATTACTGTAGCTAATTTTTCCATCTACAGTACAGCCTCTCCTCACTTAGCGACATACTTGTTTACCGATGACTCGGACAGTCGAGCTCTCTGACCAGTATGCATACCTAAATAAAGTATGTTAGAGCTGATTTTCTCTATTCTGTTTATTACAATATATAGTACACTACTGTATAAACATTTAAAAAATAGTATACTGAAAATGTTATAAATGGTGCAAAGGTGACATTAAAACAACATCAAAGATGGTTGACACAAACCCACTACCATTATAGTATGCTCCTCACTTAGTGACGAATTTGTTTACTGACGTGGTCTTAAGAACGGAACTCCTTCGTTAAGTGAGGAGAGGCTGCATTCCCATTAGACTGAAAATATATAACACAGCTATGATTCTCTTGGCTGAGTGGCATATTAGCAGTAATTTGTATTTGTTTAATATAACCTTGGTTTTGAAAGTTATTCATCATTGACTCTTTACTGTAGTTTTTCAGAAAGATATATTTTTATTAAATATTATGTAGGTGTTCTCAGTTCATGTTATTTATATTATTTATATTGAAATGTGTGTTACATGATGTGCACTAAGCAGGCTAATGAAATGCATGTATGGAGATTATCTGTGGAATATTTTGTTTGAGACTCGCGTTGTTTTCCTCGCCTTCCTTATACATGTTAAGAATCTTGAATGATAATATCCTGAATTGGCAAAATGGGAATTTTAATACACGTATGAGTCTTGACTTACGATGAGGTTATATTCCAACAAACCCATCATAAGTTGAAAATACTGGAAGTCGAATGTGATTTTTTTTTTTTTTTTTTTTAACATGTCTGCCATTTTCTACCAAGGCAGGGTGATCCAAGAAAGAACATAATCACTGTCTTTGCAGAGGCGCTTAGATACGACAGTTTAGATGTCACTCCAAATAGCCAATATCCCAAACCCCTCTTTTAAAGTGCAGGCATTGTACTTCCCACCTCCAGGACTCAGGTCCAGCTAACTGGTTTCCCTGAATCCTTTCACAAATTATTACCCTGTTCACACTGAATAAGTAAATAAATAATTACTGTAAATAACTAAATACCAGTATTGAGAAGTAAATAAATGAATACAAGTTACAGACTTGCCGCCTTCATGCTGGGTAATTATCTTAAGCTTCCCTGCCAAAGTAATTGCTTCTGAACCACCGTTCATCGAGGAGCACCTGTATGTGATTAAAAACAAGTTGGGAAAGATGTATCTAGGGTCAGACCTGCCAGCCTCTTGTTTGTGAATTTGTAACCATACCGACTAGGCCATGGTGTCTTTAAAAACTTAAAGCACCATGACCTTGTCAAATGTACAATAATTGTATATTTGGAGTGACCATGGTCTCAGAACCATGCATTTTGTCTTTCCAACTAGTCAGTATAGGTGTGGGCACTGAAATGTGATGCTGTCAGTTCTATTCCCAATACTCTTCATTACTGAATTTCATTTATATTAAATTTTCAATGGTGTACCAGAATATTCCTTCATCGTAAATCAGTATAATGTGCTCGGTCATCTCTCCCAAGGATAAACAAGTGGCCCTCGTGTTTAAATTTCTTATGACTTGACTTGTCCTGCTGCTCGATTGATTATCTTAAAATTTGTAGAACGAGTTGTCTACAATTTCAAGCATGAAAAGTGAGAAGCGTGGAATTCCGGTAGATCCTATAAATTATTTTTAATTTATATCCTAGGGCACCTGTACTTAATAAAATAATTAATTTTAATATATGCCATGTAACACTTCCTTATATGTAAGTTTTGGGAATAAACAGATTTTTTGGAGACACTTAAGTTAGTGCACACATATGGGACTTGTACTTGAGACATTTTATGTTACTTTTGAGAAAAGAGTGAAAGAATTTACATGATTATTTAGGCCTATTGTTAACAGGATAATGTGTAAATGATTTATTTTGCACAGGATTTTTACATTAATAACAAACCTATTCATATATAGAGCAGTAATATTTATTTATTCTGGCAAGTCATATAGTATACATATTAAAAGCATTAACAAGTTGAGCATTAATTCTTGTGGCACCGACTGATCACATTTCCTATTCAAGTCATTTTTATCTCTATTTGGGTTTGGCATTAGTGATGATCATAATCTCTGTTCATCGATTTCATTTTCGGTTCTTGCACGCACTCATTAAATGTTTTGAAGTTTTCAGAGTATTTCATAAGAGACTATCTAAAGGTTAAAAACTAAATAAACAGAATGGGTTTATCCACCATTTATTTGAATAATGTCTGTGACTATTATAGTAGTTAAATAATTTGTCACAGAGTAGTCCATTCTTCTAATCAAAATCCAAGATTTAATAAAAAAAATTTGCTTTCAGTACATTCACAGTTTTCCATTTGCCTTCAGGTTTACTTTGTAACAAAATCTAAAAGTGTTCAGAGTGGATAGCTTAGTTTTTCTGAGAATTCCTTTACAACCCAAGGTGCTCTCTCATCTGGTTTGCCTGCTTTTTCTTTAACATCCAGTATATTTATTATTATTTTATTTTATTATCACACTGGCCGATTCCCACCAAGGCAGGGTGGCCCGAAAAAGAAAAACTTTCACCATCACTCACTCCATCACTGTCTTGCCAGAAGGGTGCTTTACACTACAGTTTTTAAACTGCAACATTAACACCCCTCCTTCAGAGTGCAGGCACTGTACTTCCCATCTCCAGGACTCAAGTCCGGCCTGCCGGTTTCCCTGAACCCCTTCATAAATGTTACTTTGCTCACACTCCAACAGCACGTCAAGTATTAAAAACCATTCGTCTCCATTCACTCCTATCAAACACGCTCACGCACGCCTGCTGGAAGTCCAAGCCCCTCGCACACAAAACCTCCTTTACCCCCTCCCTCCAACCTTTCCTAGGCCGACCCCTACCCTGCCTTCCTTCCACTACAGACTGATACACTCTTGAAGTCATTCTGTTTCGCTCCATTCTCTACATGTCCGAACCACCTCAACAACTCTTCCTCAGCCCTCTGGACAACAGTTTTGGTAATCCCGCACCTCCTCCTAACTTCCAAACTACGAATTCTCTGCATTATATTCACACCACACATTGCCCTCAGACATGACATCTCCACTGCCTCCAGCCTTCTCCTCGCTGCAACATTCATCACCCATGCTTCACACCCATATAAGAGCGTTGGTAAAACTATACTCTCATACATTCCCCTCTTTGCCTCCAAGGACAAAGTTCTTTGTCTCCACAGACTCCTAAGTGCACCACTCACTCTTTTTCCCTCATCAATTCTATGATTCACCTCATCTTTCATAGACCCATCCGCTGACACGTCCACTCCCAAATATCTGAATACATTCACCTCCTCCATACTCTCTCCCTCCAATCTGATATTCAATCTTTCATCACCTAATCTTTTTGTTATCCTCATAACCTTACTCTTTCCTGTATTCACCTTTAATTTTCTTCTTTTGCACACCCTACCAAATTCATCCACCAATCTCTGCAACTACTCTTCAGAATCTCCCAAGAGCACAGTGTCATCAGCAAAGAGCAGCTGTGACAACTCCCACTTTGTGTGTGATTCTTTATCTTTTAACTCCACGCCTCTTGTCAAGACCCTCGCATTTACTTCTCTTACAACCCCATCTATAAATATATTAAACAACCACAGTGACATCACACATCCTTGTCTAAGGCCTACTTTTACTGGGAAATAATTTCCCTCTTTCCTACATACTCTAACTTGAGCCTCACTATCCTCGTAAAAACTCTTCACTGCTTTCAGTAACCTACCTCCTACACCATACACTTGCAACATCTGCCACATTGCCCCCCTATCCACCCTGTCATACGCCATTTCCAAATCCATAAATGCCACAAAGACCTCTTTAGCCTTATCTAAATACTGTTCACTTATATGTTTCACTGTAAACACCTGGTCCACACACCCCCTACCTTTCCTAAAGCCTCCTTGTTCATCTGCTATCCTATTCTCCGTCTTACTCTTAATTCTTTCAATAATAACTCTACCATACACTTTACCAGGTATACTCAGCAGACTTATCCCCCTATAATTTTTGCACTCTCTTTTATCCCCTTTGCCTTTATACAAAGGAACTATGCATGCTCTCTGCCAATCCCTAGGTACCTTACCCTCTTCCATACATTTATTAAATAATTGCACCAACCACTCCAAAACTATATCCCCACCTGCTTTTAACATTTCTATCTTTATCCCATCAATCCCGGCTGCCTTACCCCCTTTCATTTTACCTACTGCCTCACGAACTTCCCCCACACTCACAACTGGCTCTTCCTCACTCCTACAAGATGTTATTCCTCCTTGCCCTATACACGAAATCACAGCTTCCCTATCTTCATCAACATTTAACAATTCCTCAAAATATTCCCTCCATCTTCCCAATACCTCTAACTCTCCATTTAATAACTCTCATCTCCTATTTTTAACTGACAAATCCATTTGTTCTCTAGGCTTTCTTAACTTGTTAATCTCACTCCAAAACTTTTTCTTATTTTCAACAAAATTTGTTGATAACATCTCACCCACTTTCTCATTTGCTCTCTTTTTACATTGCTTCACCACTCTCTTAACCTCTCTCTTTTTCTCCATATACTCTTCCCTCCTTGCATCACTTCTACTTTGTAAAAACTTCTCATATGCTAACTTTTTCTCCCTTACTACTCTCTTTACATCATCACTCCACCAATCGCTCCTCTTCCCTCCCGCACCCACTTTCTTGTAACCACAAACTTCTGCTGAACACTCTAACACTACATTTTTAAACTTACCCCATACCTCTTCAACCCCATTGCCTATGCTCTCATTAGCCCATCTATCCTCCAATAGCTGTTTATATCTTACCCTAACTGCCTCCTCTTTTAGTTTATAAACCTTCACCTCTCTCTTACCTGATGCTTCTATTCTCCTTGTATCCCATCTACCTTTTACTCTCAGTGTAGCTACAACTAGAAAGTGATCTGATATATCTGTGGCCCCTCTATAAACATGTACATCCTGAAGTCTACTCAACAGTCTTTTATCTACCAATACATAATTCAACAAACTACTGTCATTTCGCCCTACATCATATCTTGTATACTTATTTATCCTCTTTTTCTTAAAATATGTATTACCTATAACTAAACCCCTTTCTATACAGAGTTCGATCATAGGGCTCCCATTATCATTTACACCTGGCACCCCAAACTTACCTACCACACCCTCTCTAAAAGTTTCTCCTACTTTAGCATTCAGGTCCCCTACCACAATTACTCTCTCACTTGGTTCAAAGGCTCCTATACATTCACTTAACATCTCCCAAAATCTCTCTCTCTCCTCTGCATTCCTCTCTTCTCCAGGTGCATACACGCTTATTATGACCCACTTCTCGCATCCAACCTTTACTTTAATCCACATAATTCTTGAATTTACACATTCATATTCTCTTTTCTCCTTCCATAACTGATCATTTAACATTACTGCTATCCCTTCCTTTGCTCTAACTCTCTCAGATACTCCAGATTTAATCCCATTTATTTCCCCCCACTGAAACTCTCCTACCCCCTTCAGCTTTGTTTCGCTTAGGGCCAGGACATCCAACTTCTTTTCATTCATAACATCAGCAATCATCTGTTTCTTGTCATCCGCACTACATCCACGCACATTTAAGCATCCCAGTTTTATAAAGTTTTTCTTCTTCTCTTTTTTAGTAAGGGTCTACAGGAGAAGGGGTTACTAGCCCATTGCTCCCGGCATTTTAGTCGCCTCATACGACACGCATGGCTTACGGAGGAAAGATTCTTTTCCACTTCCCCATGGACAATAGAAGAAATAAAGAAGGACAAGAGCTATTTAGAAAAAGAAGAAAAACCTAGATGTATGTATATATATATGCATGTGCGTGTCTGTGAAGTGTGACCAAAGTGTAAGTAGGAGTAGCAAGATATCCCTGTTATCTAGCGTGTTTATGAGACAGAAAAAGAAACCAGCAATCCTACCATCATGCAAAACAGTTACAGGTTTCTGTTTCACAGTCATCTGGCAGGATGGTAGTACTTCCCTGGGTGGTTGCTGTCTACCAACCTACTACCTAACAAAGTAGATCAAAGTTTTTTTACACATTTTCAAATGTAGAAAAACAAAAAGATGATCTACTTTTTTTACATACTTTCAAATGTTGAAAAAACATATGCTATATACGTTTGGACCGTTTACGGGTTAAGCCCTATTTTTCATAACTCTCAATGATTCATTAAATCATAATTTGCTGTCTTTCTTTGTCCCCTTTCTTGAAATATGGGCACTCTGATTCTGTCTTCTCGTGTGTTACGGAAATCTTTGTAAAATTGGTTTATGGGCTCCTTATATTTTATTTTGTTACTGTGAATACTGAGAGAGATTATCATAGTTACTTTTTCTCCAAGTTAATTTAGCATCATATGTACTGAAAATTTTGAATTAACATAAAAATTTGATAGGAAGATTGGAATTTTAACCTAAAGTCATAGATTACCAACTCGTCTGTGGCTCAATGGCTAACCTGGACAGTTGGGTCAAGTTTTGATAACCACTGAATTATCATCATATGTTGTTTATACTAGAACAAAATCACTTTCCAGTGGAATTTAGATAGTCTGTTGAAATTATTTTTCTCATTTTTAAGTTTTTTTAAAAAATAATAGGTCTAACTTAGGTATGTTGACTTCTGCCACTCGAGTAGTTCGTTAGATGTTATAAAGCATAAAAAAGCCCAGTGATCAAATTTAATTAACATTCCAGACTGACTCAAAATCGTAATAACATGATTGTAAACAAATCATGGAATAGGTAGGGATGGAACCTATGGCTGGCCAAGTGGCTGATGCACTGTCCTGGAGTTTTACCACTCGCCATATGTTCAATTCCTGCCCGTTCCATGGTTCATCAGATTCTTAAGTTACCCAGTATATTTCTGTATGTAGTTTTCCCTTGTTTTAAGCTTTTGTACTTTATGCAAATTCATTTTTATTTAGTAACCTCATTTTTACCAGTAATTCACTATATTCAGTATAAATTTACTCTTATGATCATCCAAGTCCAGCATCAGTATTTGTTAACATTACCGTTATTTCTTCAAATATCGTTAAACTGGTGTATCTTGACATTTATGAGAAAGAGGAAAGAAAATAACAGATTTGAGTGTGGTAAATCCAACGAGAAGTTTTTGAACGAAGAAAAGCACTCAACCAAGACTATGGGTGGATCAAGAGAAAACAGAGAAATAGGGACATGTGAATTTAGAGGTTTGTAATGCAGATGCTTCAATGTGGACTGACTGGCTGGCTGGTTGGTGGTATATCAAAAATAAAACAGGAGAATTACGATTGCATTTTAGATTTAATTTTTCTCTTTTTCTTACCAAATGCATTTACTTTTGCTATATGACCATTTGAATCTGTTGTATGCTCATATTTTTTTGGTACTAATAAGAATGAAAATGTGTGTTATGGTAACTGTACCGGGAGAATGATTGAATTTTAAATTTTACTCGTTTAGTTACTTATGGACCAAATTAAATTTCGTATTCCATTTTGTACATGTGTGTTAAGGTTTTTTTGGGGGGGAAACATTTGTCAATGAATGGAATTTGCCAGGTTTTTGAAACATTTCTGTATATATTAGGTTCACTTTATGCGCCATAAGCTAGAAACTCGTCCATTGCGTACTGCAAGAGATACCTGTACTGTAGGCAAAATCCCAGTTATAATTATTTTCCTAATCTCTTCATTAATATTGTAGTTCCTTTTGTATATTTTACAATCCCTTATTTATCTTGTTAAAGATTTTTCTCTCCCTCTCTTATTTATATTTAAACTGCTATGTACAGTGGACCCCCGACTTACGAACATCTCCCAACTCGAACAGTTATGTAAGTGTATTTTTGGGGGTCTGAAATGGACTAATCTAATTTATGGGAGCAAATTCGTTTGGTAACAGCACTCGAACAGCCTTCTGGAATGAATTAATATCGTAAGTCGGGGGTCCACTGTATTTGCATTTACTACCTGAGGTTTTGTTATTGTTTGTTATGTGTATGTTAGTGTGTGTATATTGTATGCAAAATGTTTATTTTACCTTTACCATTTTAAGTAATTTCATAACAGTGTTTATATTTCTGAAGTGTTCGGGTTATTAGTGTTTAAGTTACTGTAAGTGTTGTACTTAGCTTTTGTAGTTCATTTGATTAGAGCTTTTGCTTAGGAATTGTTTTGTAATTTTCTTCTTTATATTCGCTTTTATTGTAATTGTTTACACCGCTTTATATTTTTTGCAGTAATATACTACAAAAGTGGCTTACTGCTGTTACCTTACACACACATATGGGGGAAGGTGTCTTGGGGTCTGCTTGGACAACCAAATCTTTCTACCTTAGGGATTAGAACACTGCTTCCTAAGTTAGGAGTAGTGATGATGTTCACCTAAATAGAATGTACATGGGTACAATGTATAGGAAATGTGGATTGATAACTTCTCTGCATTTATATGTTGAATTCACTTGATAAAGCATCAGAATAAGTGATATATATATGTACTGTTAAAATTTGGATCAGTCTGACCTCAACATGAAGGATAACTTAAGGAAATTAGTGTAATGAAGTATTCAGTATTGTAGATTAATTTTGCTTGATTAATTTGAAATTTGCATATTGTTTATCTGTCACGTTTAAAAAACAAATAATTATCTTTTCAATATGGTAAACTAACAGTTTAATAAATTAATAGGGGAAAGTGCCTGGTAATGGAGATTGTGGCGGACAGTTCTGTAAACAACGGATTTTGTCCCATATTTTTCAAGGACATAAGAATTGAAGAACACTGCAGCAAGCCTACTGACCCATACTAGGCAGGTATTTCTCAAAATCAACCATTCCTAGCCATCTAATTGTCTAACCTTTTCCCAAAGCCACCCAAGAATTTGCATCAGGACTTCAGGTACTAATCAAACCCAGTCCTTCCCACTCATATATATGTCTAATTTCTTTTTTCAGCTCCAAAGTTTTAACTTGTCACTCAACAACAACTCTGTTTAAAAACCATTTTGTAAAATCAAGTTTGGTTAAATTGAAGATATAATGCCAGTGTATAAACATTAAGGAGCTGTAATAGGAAAATACAAGGAAGGACCTGATTACTGTAGGTGCTACAGGATATAACATGTTGGTTACACTGAGAGGATAAATTTAGGACATGAGCTACATTGACTAAAAAGGGTGGTCGGACAGATCTAGGGCCGGATGTTATGAGGTCAGATACTGCATTTTTTGTTTAATGTAGAGCATACTATACACAAATGGTGTTAAATTTAACTAGGCCAGAAGCAAGACGAGAGTTGTAGATGGATAGCACATTAGAGAATTAATGGGGTATTGCTATGAATGAAATGCTGAAAGACACAATGAACAAATTGTGGATACAGGATCAGAGCTCTGTTTGTGGTGTCCCATTTTTAGTATTCAGTCTCATAAAATTATTGAAGGTTTTAGTGATCTCAAGACACTATGCATAAACATGGACTTTCCATGTCAGGGATTAGCAGATTGTTAGTCCTTTGTTGTAACACCTGTTTACTTTCTTAGAAAACATTTATTATTAATTATTATTATTATTATTAATTATTATTATTATTAATTATTATTATTTTACTGTGTAATGTGGTATACTGTACAAGTCATTGATTCATCAATTCATGGGGGAAAAAAATTTAAAATGAATGGCTGTGTTATCAGTTTGGCTTGTAATTGTCTGTTTTAATAAAAATGAGTGAAAATTACGCACAAACATTCATCCTTAAACCCTCATGGAAACCTTCATACAGAGATGAACACTGTTACACTAAGCACGAAGGGATTCCCTTCTTAGCAGTCACTTTTGTAAGGCGTAGTGCATTTCTTCAAATAATTCGGAATATTTCTGAATTGCTCCAGCCACGGTATTGTAATAATCTTCTCCAGTTTTATTTTAGTTATAATTTTTTTTCAAATTCAAATTCAGATTAAAAGTCTATTCTCTATAAGGATTACAATGCTGAGTTTACAGAAGTTGGTTATTGTGTGGTTTACATGTAGTAAAATAATAATTACAGAGTGTACCACTAGAACACCTAGCATGGCTAGGCATTTTGGGCAGACTTAGATTAAATCTTAAATTTAAAATATTACAAATTATGAGGTAAGTTGGTATTATGGCTAAGTGACTAAATACTAGTTTGTGAGTTTAGCAATGTGAATGCTTTTGTTTTGGCACTATACATAGTTTCAGCATTGGAGTATCACAGGCCAACTTATGACTAGTTAGGATTCATTATTTTGAGATTGAGATTGATATTTCTGTTTATGGTCAAATGGGTGAGTGAGTGTAAGTGTTAACCACCAGGTGGTAATCGTGTAATTAGTTGACAGGGTGTATCAGGGAGATAAGATGTTTTCTGATTTTAGTTTTGAAGGTGATGAATGTGTCTGCAGTTTTAGCATTTTCAGGTAGGGTGTTCCAGATTTTAGGGCCTTTGACATACGTTGAATTTTTGTAAAGGTTTAGTCGGACACGGGGAATGTCATAGAGATGTTTGTGTCTGGTGTTGTGCCTGTGGGTTCTGTCACAACTATCAAGAAAGCATTTTAGGTCAACGTTAATATTGGAATTTAAGGTCCTGTAGATTTAGATTGCACAGTAGTAAGTGTGGATGTACTGAACAGGGAGTAAGTTTAGATCAATGAAGAGTGGGGGGGGGTGTTGCCAGGGATGGGATTTAGTGATTATTCTTACTGCGGCTTTTTGTTGGGTTATTATTGGCTTTAGGTGTGTTGCTGCAGTTGAACCCCAAGCACAGATAGCATAGGTGAGGTATGGATATATAAGTGAATGGTATAGTGTGAGAAGGGCAGTTTGCGGCACGTAGTATCGTATCTTGGAGAGGATCCCAACCGTTTTGGATACTTTTTTGGTTATGTGTTGGATATGGGTGCTGAAGTTCAGGTTGTTGTCGAGGTATAGGCCTAGGAATTTGCCCTCATTATGCCTGGCAATTAGAGTGTTGTTGATCTTAATGTTAATTTGCGCATCTCATGCTCTGCTACCAAACATAATGTAGTAGGTTTTGTCAGTGTTAAGCGTAAGTTTATTGGCTGTCATCCAAGTCGATATTTTGATCAGCTCCTCATTAACAGTGGTGTTGAGGGTGGCAAGTATAGGGTGAGAGATGACATAAGTCGTGTAGTCAGCAAAGAGAATGGGGTTCAGGTGTTGAGATACGTTTGGAAGATCATTGATGTATATGAGGAAGAGCAGGGGACCAAGGACACTTCCCTGCAGAACTCCAGTATCAAGTGGCTGTGTTGTTGATGCTGTGTCTTTAATGGTGACATACTGATACCTATTAGTAAGGTAAGATTTGAAATATGCAAGCGCATGGCCTCTTATACCATAATGGTCAAGTTTGTGGAGTAGGATGCCGTGGTCTACTGTGTCAAAAGCTTTTCTTAGGTCAATAAAAATTCCTAGTGGATATTCCTTATTTTCCAATGCTGTGTAAAGCAGATCTAGCATTTTTATGATTGCATCGTTAGTGCTTTTATTTTTCCTGAATCCAAATTGGCAGGGGTTGAGTATGTTTTGTGCCGTTATAAATGAATATAGTCTCCTGTGCACGAGTTTCTCAAAGATTTTGGATAGCAATGGTAAGTGTGATATTGGCCTATAGTTGTTTAAATCTGTAGGGTCACCACCTTTATGTATTGGTGTAACCCTTGCCGTCTTGAGTAGTTTCGGGAAGGTGCTAGTTTCTAGTGACTTGTTAAAAAGTAATGAGATAGCATGCGAGAGGACATGGGCTGCTCTCTTGCACAATAATGGTGGGACATGAGACAGATTCCCTGAGTTACTTTTAAGTGACTTTATAATCTCGGTGACTTCCGTGGGCTCAGTTGGAGCAAGATAGAAGGAATTTGGGAAATTCCCATCTAGGTAGTCCCCGGCATGGGCATTGGTACGTGGGATTTTATTGGCGAGATTAGAACCTATGGTTGAGAAGAAGTCGTTTATCTTGTTAGCTGTGTCAGTGAGATGCAGTGGTGTTTCATTAGGTTTAGTTAGGACAATATTCTTGGGTTTTTTTCAGTTTCTGGGTCCCTAGAATCTGAGAGAGTGTTTTCCTGGTCTTTTTTATATCTCCTCTTGTGTCAGTGAATCTACTGGAGTAGTATAGTTGTTTGGCTTTCTTTATTACTTTGGTGAGGACTGATGAATAGTGTTTAAGAATATCTTTGTGTATTAAGCCCTGTGTATATTGCTTTTCATATTGGTGTTTCTTATCAATGGATTTCAGAATGGTGCTGGTTAGCCATGGGCAACCAAGCCGTTTGTTTGTGATCTGTTTCGTTTTTATAGGACAATGTTTGTTGTATAGTCTTAAGTAATTTGTTAAGAAAAATGTCTGTCCAGTCATCAATACCATTGGCCTTGGAGAATTCTGTAGGCCAGTCAACAGTCTCTAGGTCAGCTGTGAACTTCCTTATTGAGGCCTCATCATGGAGTCTAAATGAAACTTTGTTGTATTCAAGTGGTGGTTTACTAATGTTTGTCAAGAGGAAGGTAGGGTAGTGGTCTGTAGTGCTGTCTGTGATTATCCCTGATTTTAGGGGGGCTAGTATATTGGTCCATATGTGGTCTATTATGGTTGCACTTGTTTCAGTGAGCCTGGTTGGTTTAGTTATTGTTGGTAAGAGAAGTGTGTTGTTCATATTGTTGATGAAATCAGTTACAGGCTGATCATCTAGTAGGCCAAGGTTGATGTTGAAGTCTCCAGCTAAGAGAAGGTGGTGTTTATTCATTTGTCTGTTTGTTATTAGTGCCTTTAATTTCTCACTGAAATTTTTAGTGATTGCAAATATGGATTCAATCACATGGCTGCTGAACAGGTAATGGCAGGTTATTAACCAAACTGGGAAATGAGTAACTAACTGGGATTCCATTTAAACAAAATTTAGGTGATCAAGTGACCGCATAACAGACGTATAGAACGATAGTAATATTGGCTAATTTGCTTAACTGTTGTCCTCATTTATTACTCCTCTTTCCTCTCTCTACTCACTCTACTGACTTCCCTTATTTTACCTCCTTATTTTACCTCCCCTTTATGTCCACTGTACATGTTACTTTTCTCTTCCTTCTTGGGAAGTTCCAACAATTTATGTTTGCTCCTCCACACTTCCTTGTGCAAAAGCACACTTGCATACTACATCACTCTCTCTTTATTGAACACTTCGTCTCTTTCTCCTCGTATGGCAGTGTACACTGATAGTTCTAAATCCCCCGATGGTGTCAGGTACGCAGTTTTTTTTCTGGTACGATAATGTAGTCATTTACTAGAATTGACAATTTTTTTTCACAGCAAAGTTATATGCAGTTTTCACTGCTGTCATATGCATTGCATCCATGTCCATCTCTATATTTGTAGTTGTTCTGGACTCCTGAAGTATGTTACAGGGCTGTCTAAAAATTCAACTCCATCCCATTGTCCTTGATGTATATCTTTGTTTTCGTCACATTTCTGGTAAGCACAAAAGTTTTTTTTGCTAGGTCCCTGGACATATAAGGTCAGTGAACAAGAAGACCCAACCACTCTGTCAACTATGCATGACCTGATTTTTCAGTGATCTCTCAACCTCGCAACCTCTGGCAACATTGAAGGACCACAACAAATTATCTTCTCTTGAACCATATTTACGATTATGGCCAGGACTACATTCTTGTGGTTAAGTATTTGACACATGATTCACTCATGGACACCACATTAAAAAATGCCCCACACCACTTGTCAAGAACTGTCAGGTTACATTAGTCCATGTCTTAATAGAATGTCCTGTCTATCAGTGGGCTTGTAGGATTCACATTCAGTGTCTCCACCAGCATAACACTAGCAAACCTCCTTGCTGAAAATTACAACTTTCATGTACACACACTTTGATTTTTTTTTTTTTTTATTAACACGTCGGCCATTTCCCACCAAGGTAGAATGGCATTTACCGAAACTTATCTATTACATTAACCTTGATTGAAGTTTTACACATGCTTTCTCCCCTACCCTCACTCCTACCCCCTCATTCAATCCTCCCCCTTAATCACTCCCCCTCACTCCTACCCTTCTGACATTTGTACTCTTGCAAATTCCTTGCTGAAGTACTTTATGACTTTTCACATTTAACACTTAATTATATTATTTCTTCCTTTCCCATCTTCCTCCCTTTTTGCCTATTTCCCATTTCCCTCTACCCCATTTTCCCCTCCTCCAATTTCCCCTCCTCCAATTTTCCTTTGCAATGCAACCCCCTACTCCTTCCTCTCTCATTCCCCACCCCTCCTCCCCTCTAGCACAATAAACACAAGCATTTCCCCTTGGCAGGTGAGATAGTTCAGTTGACGCAACTCTTCATTAGAGGGGAAGAAGCATTTCCCCTTAATCTAGGTCCCTTGATGCCCATGGGAGGCTCTTGATCCTTCCTCAGATCAAACCTGATTACATTCCATTCCCCAGGTGCTGTTTCACCCCTGCGTATTTAACGCTTTCCCATGACTTTGAAAATAATAAAGCAATAATAACAGTAAAAAAAATACTAATTAAAACATAAGAATAAAAAGAATTATTTGGACCAAAAAACAAAGAAGAAAATTGAAAACTAATTCTTGTAATCCATAAATATTACAACCCTCAAAAAAAAAAAAATGCTATTTCTGTTCTTGCCCTATAAGCAGTGCTGTATGACCCTAGTGGGTTTA